TTGAGATAATTTCACTCGCAGTTGCGGACTTTGAAAATTTCCGCCATAAACACCTTTTTTGGGAATTTCAAGGTGAAGGTCACTTCCCATCCAAGGTCACGCTACACCTTTCTTGTAGACAATCTTATTACCTTTCTTTTGATTACCCTGACCTTGACCTTGACGATAACCTTAACCTAGATAACCCACTTTTACACCTAAAAAAACCCTTTTTGACCCCTGACCCCGACCGGACAAAGACCGGCGGTGACAAACCGACCGACAACGTCGCCTTGCCACTCGCCGAACCAGATTAAAAGAAAAAAAGCCTCACTGACCCTAACCTTCTTTTGATTACCCTGACCTTGACCTTGACGATAACCTTGACCTAGATAACACCCTTTTACACCTAAAAAAACCCCTTTTTGACCCCTGACCCCAACCGGACAAAGACCGGCGGTGACAAACCGACCGACAACGTCGCCGACGGGGCCTTGCCACGCCCGACCCAGATTAAAAGAAAAAAAGCCTGATTGACCCTAACCCTAAACCTAACCTTAAGAAAAAAAGCCTGATTGACCCTAACCAACCCTAAACCCTAACCCTTTTTTGTAGACAATATTATTACCTTTCTTTTGATGTCCTTGACCTCGACCTTGAACATGACATAAATAACACCCTTTAACACCTAAAAAAGCCCGTTTTGACCGCCAAACCCACCGGAAAAAGACCGGCGGTGACAAACCGACCGACAACGTCGCCGACGGGGCCTTGCCACGCCCGACCCAGATTAAAAGCCTTATTGACCCTAACACTAACTCCCAACACATTGACCTCAAAAAGGAGTGAAAACACGTTGACCCAGGGATGAAGGTCATCTGTCCACGTGCTAATCAAGGTCAATGTGTCTCCTGATAGCCCATGGTCCACGCGACGTGACTCTTGTTCTCCAAATTTGAATCGAGCCATAACCTGACTCAGGATACGAATCCCGCCAAAACTGCTTTGACGCCTGTGATCCGGACGTAGAAAATTGGAGCCAGGTACACTTTTTCTCGGCTGCGTACACTTTTTTCAAACTTCCGGGCGCCATATCTCGGCGACTATCCAACTTGTCTCCACAACAGTTACATTTTTGGACAGCCTGTGACCTGGACTACCTACCTAAACCATCATCTCCGACCCCGACCCACCCTGCGACCCAGGGGGCGCCTCCGACCAAAATTACAGTTTCCCACCAACACCGCGCCTACCGTGACTCGAAGCTTAAGGATCGACATGACATCTTTTGTCCCCCGTGCCACGCCCCATCCGACCCACCCATCAGACTCCCAACTCGGAATCACACGTCTCCAAAAATCACGTCTGCAACTGACTTTACCTAGACCCCCGATTTCACCCCTTCTAATAGGCAAGTCTCTAAGGTCAACATCTCCCCGACTCCCACACCTCTCCTTTACAACTACCAACCCTCACATCCCACCCTCGACTCACACCCGGACCGGCAGAACCTACACTATCTAGGGACCCAAAAAAAAAAAAAAGTCCCAAAGCCACGACCTACTTATGACCTACATCACTTTTTGAATTTTCCCACAAAACCTGTTCATCCCACTTTTTTCGAAAATTGTTCTCCCAGATCTACTAAAAGTGCCTGATTTTTGGACAAACTTCTGCTCTTCTCGTTTCCATAGTGACGATTGACCTTGACAGTTCATTTTAAAGGTCAACCCTTCGACCTACACAATGTCACCCTCGGCCTTTTTTTTTGTAGCCGAGGTCACGACCTATCTACTGATGATGTTAAAATTGACCTTTGCCTAAACTTTTTTTGAGATAACCCGATTCAAAGTTTGAAACTTAAAATTTCGGCTGTTTTTTTCGCCACGATTTTTTCGACGTGACCTGAAAAACTTTTCATTTTTTAAAGTCAAGGTCACTTTCTGTCCAAGGTCACGCTTAACCTTTATTATAGACAATTTTACTACCTTTCTTTTAATGACCCTGATTTTGACCTTGAATCCTTGACCCAATAATCCCCTTTTACTGTTAAAAAAAAAGTCGTATTTCCCTCTACACGGACATGAAAAAGACCGCCAATGACAAACCGATCGACAACGTCGCCGACGGGGCCTTGCCACGCCCTACCCATAGTATCAGAAAAAAAGACTGACCCTTAATCTAATCCTAAAACAAGGTTACGCTCAATTTTTTTATAGCAAACTGAACGGCCTTTCTATAAATGACCTTGAACTTGACCTTTAAAAGTCCTTTTTAGTGTTAAAAAAGTCGAATTTGCTGCTACTCGAGGGTCCCTGACCTACAGAACTATTAGCCTAAACCTTACCCGACCTACACTTGATCTTTAATTTTTGCGCTTCAACCGTAAATCTGACGTTGACCATTTTTTGTCTTCAAAATCCATCAAAAGTGCCCAATCTTTAAAATCGTTTTGCCCTTGCCGTTTATATAGCGACTTTTGAACCTGACCTTCTAATCACTTTTAAATGTTTACAAGGTCAACCTTTTATGCCATCCAATGTCACTTTTGAGCTTTTTGGTAGCCCAGGTCAAGGCCTTTTTGGAAAATATCTTGACTCTAACCTTTACTCAAAGAAGCCTTTCAAAGTTTAAACATGTTGAAATTCTTACAAGTTTGTTCAGTTCGGCAATAACTTGTACCTTGCATTTTTTTTAAGGTCAAGATGTCATTTTAAACAAGGTCACTTAACATTTTTTATAGCAGATAGAATGACCTTTCCTAATATGACCTTGAACTTTAAAACCCTATTTTACAGTTTGTCACTACTTGAGGTGCCCTGAGCCATTTTAATATAATCATAACCCTTAAACTTAACTGATATAACCCTTAACTCTAAACCCTAGACTTAACAGGAAGATGACATGCAAAGAGTTTTAAGCCCTTACCCAAATGTACCCAAAACCCCATCCCTAGCCCCAGCTCTCTATAACCCTGATCCTAACCCCAATACTAATGCCAACCCTGACCTTAAACCTACCAGATCTGAGGCCATGAACCAAACTGCCCCCTAAACCTGAGCTCCTGGGCATTTACATGAAAAAATCAACATGTTATATAATAATATTAATTACATGCAAACAAGTGGTTAGAATAAGATGTAACTTGGAGACACTGAAGAAAATAGGTTTACCTTTTATCTAGTGCCAATATTCCACCTTTATTTGCCAATCCATCCAGCAGTATTAGCCTTGTTTCACAAAGTGAACACCAGATGTTGCTGTTTGAGGGACACGCCCCCTTCTCATACTATCAATCAAGTTTTAATTCTATAATTTTCAAGATTCTCCCCTCATAACTCAAGCTTTCACTGAATGTGTCACTTCAACTGGGAAAGGTATTCTTAATGAAATTCTGAATACTCAGAGTCTGAATCAACCAAGGTATCGATCACCTGTTGGACTGAAAAACCTAGACCTACTTCACTTTCCTGTCGATGTGCTTGGTTCATCAGCAGCTCATTTCATTGTGAATTTTCAGAATTTGTTCACGTTAAACCACACAAAGTAAATCCAAACACAGGTGGGCAGACATCTGGAATGACTACCCACGAGGTCTGACTACGATTGGCTAGTCATTTTTAGTTTGTGATGCATTGTTTTCACGTATTATGCAAAGTACCAACAATGAGGTACACCGGCTTAGCGGCAGATTAGGAAATCACCGCAGTAGCGCTACATCGGTCTGGTAGAGTTAACACAAGCCTAACATCAACTTACACTTAAATCTAACACAGCACCCTAGAGTCTGGTGTTACAGCACCTACATCCTTAGCGTATCCTGTGCAGAATCTCGGTCTATTCAGGGTCTGCCTGACAGAAACGAGGTCTCTCGGCAGCTTTCCAGTCCCATGTACTTTTATATTCAAGGAGTCACTCACTTCATGTGCCCATCTTCACGTTGGTTGGCCCCCTGCCCCTCCTTCCTGGTACCATGCCTTCTGCTATTAATTTTTTGAATCCACAATGGCACATGATGTGGCCAAAATATTTCAGCTTCCGAGACAAGATACTATTTATTAGCCAATATTCCTTGACGTTCAGATCTTTCAAAATGTCTCTTGACACAGCACCCTACAATCTTGTTAAAACTGCCCTACCATCCTGTGTTACTGAAAAAGCACCCTCCAATCATGTTACTGAAACTGTGGCTTACAATCTTGTATTACTGAAACTGCGGCCAACAACATTGTGGATGGAATAACTCTTCCATTACTGAGACTGTGCGCTGTGAGCTTTTGTTGCTGAAACTATGCCTTACAATCTTGTAATACTTAAACATAATCCTATCTTGTTTTACCAAAACTGTGGCTAACAATCCCATGTTACTAAAACTGACCTACAACCTTGTGGATATAATAATTGATCAGTTACTGAAAATGTGCACTGTAATCTTGTGTCTTATGATCTCCTGTTTCTGAAACTGCGCCCTACAATCTTGCATTACTGAAACAGCACCCTACAATGTCCTGTCACTGAAACTGTGCTCTACAATCTTGCATTACTAAAACAGCACCCTACGATGTCGTGTCACTGAAACTGCGCCCTACAATCTTGCATTACTGAAACAGCACCCTACGATGTCATGTCACTGAAACTGTGCTCTACAATCTTGCATTACTAAAACAGCACCCTACGATGTCGTGTCACTGAAACTGCACTACAATCTTGTGTTTCTGAAACTGTGGCCGACAATCCTGCATAGTGAAGCTGCCCAAAAATCTTGCATTACTGAAACTGTGCCCCACTATCTTCTGGATGAAACAGGCTGTGTACAGAAACTCAAAAATGGACACTTCATTACATGACATTTTAGGTCCAACTACAACGGCAATCATTGGTGGTTTTGTGTTTATTAACAAGGATCGGTAGGATTTCACACATTACTTGCCACACATCAACACTCATAATCACACATTTCCATGACATCTCCCAATTTTCATGTCCCCAAATCATGCCTCAAATCTGTAGGAGAGAAGAGATCATTTGATACGATGTAAATTCACAACTGTCTTAGAAAGTAAGTGCCCAGACTTGGTTGGGTATTTGGTCATGTGTTGTGGTGCCAGAGATCGCTGCAACATGGAAGATAGTTGAGCCTTCATCTGTTTCAGCAAATGTTTCTCCTCTGCCTGCATCACCTCATCGCCAGTATCCTCCAGACTGCAGACAAGTCAAGGAAATATACAACACAGGAGATGATCAAACAGTCCAACATGGACATGTAACTTGCTGGTTGTGATCCAGTGAGGACTTCTAGACACTAGCTGAAATCAGGAAAATCACATGACAGTATCTAGGGTTTCTCCTCTTGTGTTAGTCAAAAATAATTGGGTTCAATGTTCAACTGATACACTCCATTGCATCAACTCTACAACAACAACAATGACTGATCATTCCAACACATCAACTCTCTACAACATGACATACATTCCATGATATCAACTCTCTACAACATGACATTCATTCCATGATATCAACTCTCTACACCAACATGACTGATACCTTCCATCACATCAACTCTCTACAATAACATAACTAATACATTCCAAGATGTCAACTCTCTAAAATAACATGACTGACACATTCCATGATGTCAACTCTCTACAACAGGACTAATACATTCCATCACATCAACTCTCTACAATGACATAACTGACACATTCCATCACATCAACTCTCAAGAAAAACAGGACTGACACATTCCATCACATCAACTCTCAAGAAAAACAGGACTGATACCTTCCATCACATCAACTCTCTACAAAAACATGACTGACACATTCTATCACATCAACTCTCTTGAAAAACATGACTGACACATTCCATCACATCAACTCTCTACAATAACATGACTGACATTCCATCACATCAACTCTCTACAATAACATGACTGACACATTCCATCACATCAACTCTTTACAATAACATGACTGACACATTCCATCACATCAACTCTCTACAATAACATGACTGACACATTCCATCACATCAACTCTCTACAATAACATGACTGACACATTCTATCACATCAACTCTCTTCAAAAACATGACTGACACATTCCATCACATCAACTCTCTACAATAACATGACTGACACATTCCATCACATCAACTCTCTACAATAACATGACTGACACATTCCATCACATCAACTCTTTACAATAACATGACTGACACATTCCATCACATCAACTCTCTACAAAAACATGACTGACACATTCCATCACATCAACTGTCTACAACAGGACTGATACCTTCCATCACATCAACTCTCTACAATAACATGACTGACACATTCCATGATGTCAACTCTCTACAACAGGACTGATACCTTCCATCACATCAACTCTCTACAATAACATGATTGAAACATTCCATCACATCAACTCTCTACAAAAACATGACTGACACATTCCATCACATCAACTCTCTTCAAAAACATGACTGACACATTCCATCACATCAACTCTCTACAATAACATGACTGACACATTCCATCACATCAACTCTGTACAATAAAATGAATGACACATTTCATCACATCAACTCTCTACAATAACATGACTAATACATTCCAAGATGTCAACTCTCTAAAACAACATGACTGACACATTCCATGATGTCAACTCTCTACAATAACATAACTAATACATTCCAAGATGTCAACTCTCTAAAACAACATGACTGACACATTCCATGATGTCAACTCTCTACAACAGGACTGATACCTTCCATCACATCAACTCTCTACAATAACATGACTGACACATTCCATGATGTCAACTCTCTACAACAGGACTGATACCTTCCATCACATCAACTCTCTACAATAACATGACTGACACATTCCATCACATCAAATCTCTAGAAAAACAGGACTGACACATTCCATCACATCAGCTCTCTACACCAGTGGTCTCCAACCTGGGCGGGTTTAGGGAAAAAAAGGAGGGGGGGGGGGGGAGCAGGCAAGAGGTTTCTGTTGGGGAAGGGAGTTTAGAGCAATTTTGAAACTGAGTGCATTTGTATTTGTAATAATCAGTTTTTTTTTAAATAATTTTTTCTTTTTAATCAAAAGTAAAATATATTCAAAAACTATTTAGAGAAAAAAGTCAACGAAATTTTTTGTTTGCTTTCATGAAACAGTTTGTATATCTACAGTTAAAAATCTAGACAATATTCTTCTTCTGCATTCATCCGAAGATGTAATTGCGCTGTGCTCGTTTACAGCATGGCTGCAATTTTAGCATCTTTCGACTGACACATCTAACTTTTGCACACATTTGTTGATCAGTAAACTAAAAAATATGATAACAAAGGCATTAAATTATAGATTACATGTTCTGACCTGACCAAAACCTATCGCCATACTGTCTACAGGGTTCATAGCCAAATTCACCAATATTTTTCAAGGGTTTTTTGAGATTTTTTTCTCAAGGCTGCATCTGGCATAATGGTGACTGATTTGTGCACAAACACATGCAGGTATATGCACACAGATGGCCTGTCTTTACTAGACTTGGTGGAAGATAAAGAGCGAGTAGAACAAATGCTACCATTAACATTAGTAACACTGAATGCATAAAAGTTTTGTCTCCTCTAAACCAGGCGAGCGAGCGAGAGCGAGAGAGAGCCAGAGAGCGAGAGAGAGAGAGAGGAGTGGGGGTGGGAAGTCTGACAATGCTAGGAAATAGAGATAAAGGGAGGGAAAAGCAGGTACCGAGAGCAAGAGTAACAGAGGGCTAGTGGGAGAGAGACAGTGATGCAGAGGAAGAAGGGAGAGGTATATATAGAGAGAGACTGACAAAGAGAGGGAAGAAAGGGAAAGAAAAATAGGAGGTGAAGGGAAAAAGACAAATAAAAAAGGAGATTAGATAGATAGATAGATGGATGGATGGATGGATGGATGGATGGATGGATGGATAGATAGATAGATAGATAGACAGACAGACAGACAGACAGACAGACAGACAGACAGACAGACAGACAGACAGACAGACAGACAGACAGACAGATAGATAGATAGATAGATAGATAGGGAATAGAAGACACAAAGATGCAGTGACAGAGAGGAGGGAATCACTCAGGGAAGGAGAGAATGTTGCAGAAAGGAATGTAGAGAGAGAGAGAGAGAGAGAGAGAGACAAATAGGCACAGCGAGCTTCATAAAGGGAAAAAGAGCGGCAGAAAATTAAGATGCAAATAGGGAAGGAGGGAGAGGGACAAACAGACACAGAGATGCTGAGAGGGAGGGAGTGAGACGTGCAAACAGACAGAGAGGGATGGACAAATAAACATATACACAAAGGGAGGGAAAGAGGGGGCAGACAGAGATACAGTGACGGGAGAGAAGACACACAGAAAGACTGACAGTTTAAGACAAAGAGGAAAGAAGAGAGAATAATGGCAGATAAAAAAGAGAAGGTGAAGGAGCTGGGGGAGGAAGGTAGAAAATGAGAGAGCTGGGGGGAGGGTTGCTGGAATAAAGAGCAATGACAGAAAGGAGGATAAGAAAGAAACAGAACACAAATCATCACCACTGGTAAAGTAAAGTTCAAGGACTGGTGGGTATAGTCCAAGGAATTTTGTCAGTTTTCATAAAAATCCGTTTTCTCAGGACTTTGAAAGGGATCTGGCATTTCATTACTTTTTCTAGATTTCAAGGCCTGCTAAAAACCCTGTGTCTGTTTCTCTTGTTGTGGAATCTATTGTCCTTCTCTTTTTAATCATGTTTTGTTGGGAGGTGGGCACTGAGATATTGCCATATACTCAAGGGGGTGTGAGAGAACCTTAAAAAGGCTGGAGACCAATGCTCTACAAAATTTTGACTGATACATTCCATCAAATAAACTCTCTGCAACAACAAGACTGATATATTCCATTAACTCTTTTACAAGAACATGACTGATGCATTCCATCCCATCAACTCTACAACAACACGACTTATACATTCCATCACATCAACTCTCTACAATCAAAATGACTGATACATTCATCACATCAACAATATTATGTGAGAAAATAAAGGATACAGATGTGACTCATCAATGACCATATCCATTTCTTCTGCCGCTTTAGTGAAAAAGTTATTCCTCAGGCGTTTCTTTTTCAATCTTTAATACAAAACAAGGATGAACAAAAGCCAGTTAATGATTTCATCAAATGTGAGCTGATAATTATAATACATCAAATGTGTGCTGACAATTACACTGGATTAAATGGGAGCTGATAACACTACATCAAATGTCAGCTGGCGATTACACTACATCAAGTGTGAGATGGTGCTTACACTACATCAAACGTGAGGTAATCATTACATCACGTCAAATATGAGGTGATCATTAAGCTACACCAATTGTGAGGTAATAATTATGTTGCATCAAATGTGATGTAATAATTACACTAAATAAAATGTAAGGTGATGATTACATCACATCAAACGTGAGCAATGATTACAATGTGAGCTGATGATTACACTGCATCCCACGTGAGCTAGTGATTGCACTATAACTAATGTCAACTGGTCATTACACCACATCAAATATGTGCTGACAACTATACTACATTAAATGTGAGCTGATAATTACACTACACTGAATGTGAGTTGATGATTATTCAACATCAAATGTGAGCTGATAATTACACTACACTGAATGTGAGTTGATGATTATTTAACATCAAATGTGAGCTGATAATTACACTACACTGAATGTGAGTTGATGATTATTCAACATCAAATGTGAGCTGATAATTACACTACACTGAATGTGAGTTGATGATTATTTAACATCAAATGTGAGCTGATAATTACACTACACTGAATGTGAGTTGATGATTATTTAACATCAAATGTGAGCTGATAATTACACTACACTGAATGTGAGTTGATGATTATTTAACATCAAATGTGAGCTGATAATTATACTACACTGAATGTGAGTTTATGATTACTTAACATCAAATGTGAGCTGATAATTACACTACACTGAATGTGAGTTGATGATTATTTAACATCAAATGTGAGCTGATAATTACACTACGCTGAATGTGAGTTGATGATTATTCAACATCAAATGTGAGCTGATAATTACATTACACTGAATGTGAGCTGATGATTATTCAACATCAAATGTGAGCTGATAATTACACTACACTGAATGTGAGTTGATGATTATTTAACATTAAATGTGAGCTGATAATTACACTACACTGAATGTGAGTTGATGATTATTTAACATTAAATGTGAGCTGATAATTACACTACACTGAATATGAGCTAATGATTATACAACATCATATGTGAGCTGATAATTATACAACATTGACTATGAGTTGATGGTTACACTATGTTGAATGTGACCTGATGATTCAACTAAATCAAATGTGAGCTGGTAATTACAATGCATCAAATGCATGCTGACAAGTTCACTACATCAAATGTGAGGCTACAATTACACTACACCAAATATGAGGTACCAATTTCACTATGTCCAATTTGAGGTGATGATTACATTTCATCAAACTGAGGTAATGATTACACTACATTAAATGTAAGGTGATGATTACACTAAGTCAAACTGAGGTAATAATTACGCTACATCAATGTGAGCTGATGATTACAATACATCAAATGTGAGCAGTTCATTACACATCATCAAATATGTGCTGACAACTATATTACGAATTGGTTATACTACATCAAATGTGAGCTGACAATTACACTACATCAAATGTGAGCTGACGATGACAATACATCAAATGTGAGCTGATGATGACAATATAGCAAATGTGAGCTGATGATGACACTACATCAAATGTGAGCTGATGATGACACTACATCAAATGTGAGCTGATGATGACAATATAGCAAATATGAGCTGATGATGACACTACATCAAATGTGAGCTGATGATGACAATACATCAAATGTGATCTGATGATGACAATACATCAAATGTGAGCTGATAATGACAATAAATCAAATGTGAGCTGATGATGACAATACATCAAATGTGAGCTGATGATGACAATACATCAAATGTGAGCTGATGATGACAATACATCAAATGTGAGCTGATGATGACAATACATCAAATGTGAGCTGATGATGACACTACATCAAATGTGAGCTGATGATGACACTACATCAAATGTCTCGTCTATGCCGGACCTACCTGTACTCAGTGACATCAATGTTCCTGGCCAGGGCTACACGTTGCCTCACAGCTGGAAGCAGATCCATGTCCACAGGCAGTATGGGCAGTTCTTCACCTAACAGTCAAGAGCATACTGATGCATGCTCTGTTTAAAACATAACAGTCAAGAGCATACTGTTGCATGCTCTGTTTAAAACATAACAGTCAAGAGCATACTAATGCATGCTCTGTTTAAAACATAACAGTCAAGAGCATACTGATGCATGCTCTGTTTAAAACATAACAGTCAAGAGCATACTAATGCATGCTCTGTTTAAAACATAACAGTCAAGAGCATACTGATGCATGTTCTGTTTAAAACATAACAGTCAAGAGCATACTAATGCATGCTCTGTTTAAAACATAACAGTCAAGAGCATACTAATGCATGCTCTGTTTAAAACATAACAGTCAAGAGCATACTGATGCATGCTCTGTTTAAAACATAACAGTCAAGAGCATACTCCCCCGTGTGGTTTCCGGGGCCCCATTGTGGGGAAAACAAGAATAGACCCACTGCCTCCCCAAATGTGGTAAGAGTCGACTAATTGGGGAGCTTCCTTTGAAGTCGGAACAGAGGCAAGGAACCAACAGTCTGTATTTAAGCAATGAGATCTGTAAAACATGCACATGCAACACTCATTCTGGACAGGACTGTCACGAGCACAATCAGCTAACGCAGAAGAAGAGCATACTAATGCATGCTCTGTTTAAAACATAACAGTCAAGAGCATACTGATGCATGCTCTTTTTAAAACAATCTAAACAACATATGGTGTGTTAACAATCTAAGCAACATGCAAACAATGCCATCATTTACTGTCACACAATCTACACAGTATGCAAACAATACTACCATTTGCTACCACACAAACAACATCACCATTTGCTGCCACACAATCTGCACAACATGCAGACATCACCCGTTGCTGTCAAACAATCTACACAACACGCTAACAACATCACCAGTGTCACACAATCAAATAAAAAGGCGATCTTAATTTGAAATCTTACAAAACCAACATTTTATGGAAAACAAAGGAGCAATCCTATAAGGAATAACTGTCAAGTGGACTGTGTTGTATTTTTGCTCACAATTTCAGGATATTCTAAGACATATCCTCATCAGAAGAAAAGTCAGCAAAGCTGGAAACACAGACAATTCTAGCAGTGACTCCAAATCCATGAGGTAATGCCTTGAAAGTGGTGCATCTATTAGGTGTTGGAAATGGTGAACTGGCAAAGATTTACACAAAGAAAATTGTTGTTATGTAGCCACAAGGCTGACAGCCAGGATGCTTAATTTTAAGAGAATGTGACAGCAAACTAGAAGAGCCTGCTTTATTGTAAGAATATGTGACAGCAAACTAGAATTCACTAGAAGAGCCTGCTTTATTGTAAGAGAATGTGACAGCAAACCAGAAGTCACTAGAAGAGCCTGCTTTATTGTAAGAGAATGTGACAGCAAACTAAAAGAGCCTGCTTTCATAATAAAATTGCTCAGTTATACTAATGATGCTCAAAAGCACACCATATGCTGTTCATCCCTTGAACCCAAAGAACCATTTACTGTTGCCTCAGCAATCATGAACTCATCATTTCTCTTAGCAGTCTGTGGCGACATCTGATACTGGCTTAGCTCAACATTTTCCAACTGAATGTATAACAAGACTTCAAAAGAAAACCTTTCAAGTGTAACAGAAATGACAATAACCATGACATTGTCTTGCACCCGTCAATATTGTTAAGGATGTCAAGAATATTAGGTATGTGACATCACAGTGCAGAGGAACATGGTGACATCATAATGAAAGTTTAAAGATAGCCACCCCACTTTTGACATGCAGCAAACTTTAACAGTGTTCTGTTATCTGACCTTTGATTAGTGGAGGGGTGAACATTGGCAAATGAAAGTTCAGTATGATTATGCCTGTCAGTGCAACTGGTGCAAAAGCAGAGGGAAGTTCCCAAACAGCGTGATTCCTGTGACAGGCACATCAATTAGTTACCCCTGTGGCATTCTGAGACAAGTCTCAAGTTACCTGAGGCAAGTGAAAAGTAACAAGAGACAAGTGTCAAGTCACAAGAAATAAGTGTTAAGTCACTAGTGATAAGTGTAAAGTCACCAGAAACAAGTGTAAAGTCACAAGAGACCAGTTTCAAGTCACAAGAGGCCAGTTTCAAGTCAACAGAGATGTCTCAAGTGACAAGAGGCAAGTATCAAGTCACCAGAAACAAGTGTCAAGTCACCAAAAACAAGTGTAAAGTCATAAGAGACCAGTTTCAAGTCACAAGAGACCAGTTTCAAGTCAACAGAGACATCTCAAGTGACAAGAGACAAGTATCAAGTCACCAGAAACAAGTGTAAAGTCACAAAAGACCAGTATCAAGTCACCAGAAACAAGTGTCAAGTCACCCAAAGAGTTTTGAAGAAGAGTATAGCATGGACGAGTTAGAACCAGCCCTGAAGAAATTAAAACCTAAGAATTTCCAAGATCCAGAAAAGATCCACAACAAAATGCTGCTACATCTTGGCCCTTTCTCAGGCTTATAAATAAGAAATGGAGATCAGGCAAACTCCCAAAGGCATGGAGGAATGCATATGTCATCCCCATAATAAAAACCAATAAGCCTTCAGACGACCCCAAAAGGTACTGCTCGATATCCTTAACATCATGCTTGGGCAAAGTTGCAGAAAGAATGATAAACAAGCGCTTGTACTGGTTCCTAAAGAGTTCCGGCATACTTAGCCATGAACAGGCAGGGTTCAGAACCAACAACTGTACAGAAGACCAGCTGTTCAGACTGACACAAAGAATTTATGATGGCTTCCAGAATAAGAAGCACACCATCACCATCTTTGTTGACCTCGAGGGGGCCTAAGTTATACAATGCAATCTAATCCAAAGAAGTCTTGGAGGAGGGCTTACCACAAGACTTATTGTTAAACTGTACATTGTTTTTTAATCTATAATAAATGACTTGCCAGAACAAATCGAGGCCCAAAAAAAGCCTTGTACGCTAATGATCCAGTAATATGGCAGTCATGAAAATTCAAAAAGTGGATCTAAAAGACTTAATGGAGACCTTAGAAGAGTGCCTGAGTCTGCCAAAGATGGAAACTCAAGGTTAACTATACAAAGTCGGTCTGCACAATCTTTACCAAAAGCCATAAAATAGCAAGTAAGAATATCAATTTGAGGTTAGATGGACACCAGGTGATGACAGAAGAGCATCCTACATACCTTGGAGTCACACTTGACTGGCGGCTGAGCCTCAAGAACCATATTGAAAACATAAGGAATAAAGTATTTAGGTGATTACAGTATTAAAGAGACTTGCAGAAACAGCTTAGGGATCAGACAAGGAAAACTGAGAGGTTTGTATCTTGAATATTTTCACTCTGTGGTAGAGTATAATGACTCATTGCTTATAACCTGCTCCAAAACAAACCTAGTCTTTTAACAGAGTAAAGATGAAGGTCTTAGAATAATCAGCGGTCTACCCTAACTGCTGCATGTGAAATCTATACAAATGTTGAACCGATCGGGTTGCGGAGAGAAAAAGGTGCATTAGAATGAATCGTAATCTTCCTAATAGATACCTTGTAGAAAACTGGAAATACCAACAAATCTGTTTCGAACTAGGTACATGAAACACAGGACAGATACCACATAAATTCGACTTCATGGCACTGAGTCAAAGGGTGAAAACTCATGCGCTGCTGGATCGATAACAACACCAAGAAAAGTGTCAAGCCACAAGAGATAAGTGCCAAGTCAAAAGAGATTAGTGTCAAGTCACTAGAAACAATTGTCACGTCACCAGAAATAAGTGTCAAGTCAACAGATACAAGTGTAAAATCACAAGTGTAAAGTCACAAAGGACAATTGTCAAGTCACACGAGACAAGTGGTGAGGCATAAGAGACAAGTCACCAGAGATAAGTGTCAAGTCACCAGAGAAAAGTGTCAAAGTTACAATAGATAAATGTCCAGTTGCCAGAGACAAGTTTCAACCCACTAGAAACAAGTCACCAGAGATAAGTTAAAAAATGAAGACAAAACTGACCATTCCTGACACCATGGACAATTTTACGGTAATCTCTGGCATCCTCTGGTGACACCAACATGACACTTAGGCCCAGGTTTGAAGCCCGAGCAGTTCGACCACTCCGGTGGATGTAATTCTGTAAAATAATTAGTCGGTGTCATTTAGTATCTAATAACACAAATTCCATCAACAATGAAATCTATAACACACATTCCAGTCTGTAACATACAGTCCACCTATATTTTAGTCTGAAACATACATTCCACCAACATTTCAGTTTGAAACATACATTCCATTAACATTCTATGGTCTGTAACATGCAGTACACCAACATTTTGGTCTAAAACATACAGTCCACCAACATTCTAGTCTGTAACATACAGTCCACCAACAGTCCGGTCTGTAACATACATTCCATCAAATTTCAAGTCTCTAACATTCATCCATTAACATTCCAGTCTGTAACATACAGTCCACCAATAGTCTGTAACATACATTTCATTAACATTCTAGCCTGTAAAACACATTCCCTCAACATTCCGGTCTGTAACATATATTCCATTAACAATCCAGTCTGTAAAACACATTCCAGTCTGTAACATATATTCCATCAACATTCTTTAGTCTGTAAAAAACGTTTCATCAACATTCCAGTCTGTAATATAGTCCAACAACATTCCAATATGTAAAACACATTCCATCAACATTCCAGTCCGTAGCATATTCCATGAATATTTCAGTCTGTATCACACATCCCATCGATGTTCTAGTCTGTAACACACATTCCGTCAACATTCCAGTCAGTACAATGCAGTCCACCAACATTCAGGTCTGTAAATCACATTCCAGTCTGTAACATACAGTCCACCAAAATTCTGGTCTGTAAACGACATTTCCTCAACACGCCAGTCTGTAACACACATTCCATGAACATTCCGGTCTGTAAAACATATTCCTTCAACTTTCCAATCTGTAAAACACATTCCATCATTATTTCAGTCTGTTACACACATTCTATTGACATTCTAGTCTGTAACACACATTCACGATGTTAACATCAACTGCATCACACAGACAGGGGTGACGGTGACGTGACAACTACGATGTTAATATCAATTGTATCTCACAGACATAGTGACAACTACAGTGTTAACATCAACTATATCGTAGAAATGGGTGAGAACAATTTCCCTCACCTCCATTGTTCTGGGCACCTGGTAATGGATGACATGATCTACATTAGCGATGTCCAAGCCTCGCGCTGCCACATCTGATGCCACCAGCAATCCTCTGCTATTTTCTGAAATGTAGCACTGCTAAGTAAATTGTGTGAAGTTGAGTGAAGCACAGCTGAGTACTTTATGTGTGAAGTTGAGTGAAGCACAGCTGAGTACTTTATGTGTGAAGTTGAGTGAAGCACAGGTGAGTACTTTATGTGTGAAGTTGAGTGAAGCACAGCTGAGTACTTTATGTGTGAAGTTGAGTGAAGCACAGTTGAATACTTTATGTGTGAAGTTGAGTGAAGCACAGCTGAGTACTTTATGTGTGAAGTTGAGTGAAGCACAGCTGAGTACTTTATGTGTGAAGTTGAGTGAAGCACAGGTGAGTACTTTATGAGTGAAGTTGAGTGAAGCACAGCTGAGTACTTTATAGGAACACAGAATTTATATTTGTGGTATTAAAAGAGCCCTGGTGATTACTTCATGGGAACACACTGCTTTTCTAATTGTGATGCTGAATATAGCACTACTGAGTACTTTATGAGAACACACTGCTTTTCTAATTGTGATGCTGAATATAGCACTACTGAGTACTTCATGGGAACACACTGCATTTCTAATTGTGATGCTGAATATAGCACTACTGAGTACTTTATGGGAACACACTGCATTTCTAATTGTGATGCTGAATATAGCACTACTGAGTAATTTATGGGAACACACTGCATTTCTAATTGTGATGCTGAATATAGCACTACTGAGTACTTTATGGGAACACACTGCATTTCTAATTGTGATGCTGAATATAGCACTACTGAGTACTTTATGAGAACACACTGCATTTCTAATTGTGATGCTGAATATAGCACTACTGAGTACTTTATGGGAACACACTGCATTTCTAATTGTGATGCTGAATATAGCACTACTGAGTACTTTATGGGAACACACTGCATTTCTAATTGTGATGCTGAATATAGCACTACTGAGTACTTTATGGGAACACACTGCATTTCTAATTGTGATGCTGAATATAGCACTACTGAGTACTTTATGCACACTGCATTTCTAATTGTGATGCTGAATATACTTTTATGGGAACACACTGCATTTCTAATTGTGATGCTGAATATAGCACTACTGAGTACTTTATGGGAACACACTGCATTTCTAATTGTGATGCTGAATATAGCACTACTGAGTACTTTATGGGAACACACTGCTTTTCTAATTGTGATGCTGAATATAGCACTACTGAGTACTTTATGAGAACACACTGCGTTTCTAATTGTGATGCTAAATATAGCACTACTGAGTACTTTATGAGAACACACTGCATTTCTAACTGTGATGCTGAGTACTTTATGGGAACACAATGCATTTCTAACTGTGATGCTGAATATAGCACTACTGAGTACTTTATGGGAACACACTGCATTTCTAATTGTGATGCTGAATATAGCACTACTGAGTACTTTATGGGAACACACTGCATTTCTAATTGTGATGCTGAATATAGCACTACTGAGTACTTTATGGGAACACACTGCATTTCTAATTGTGATGCTGAATATAGCACTACTGAGTACTTTATGGGAACACACTGCATTTCTAATTGTGATGCTAAATATAGCACTACTGAGTACTTTATGGGAACACACTGCATTTCTAATTGTGATGCTGAATATAGCACTACTGAGTACTTTATGAGAACACACTGCATTTCTAATTGTGATGCTAAATATAGCACTACTGAGTACTTTATGAGAACACACTGCATTTCTAATTGTGATGCTAAATATAGCACTACTGAGTACTTTATGGGAACACACTGCATTTCTAATTGTGATGCTGAATATAGCACTACTGAGTACTTTATAGGAACACACTGCATTTCTAATTGTGATGCTGAATATAGCACTACTGAGTACTTTATGGGAACACACTGCATTTCTAATTGTGATGCTGAATATAGCACTACTTACTTTATGGGAAAACACTGCATTTCTAATTGTGATGCTGAATATAGCACTACTGAGTACTTTATAGGAACACACTGCATTTCTAATTGTGATGCTGAATATAGCACTACTGAGTACTTTATGGGAACACACTGCATTTCTAATTGTGATGCTAAATATAGCACTACTGAGTACTTTATGGGAACACACTGCATTTCTAATTGTGATGCTGAATATAGCACTACTGAGTACTTTATGGGAACACACTGCATTTCTAATTGTGATGCTGAATATAGCACTACTGAGTACTTTATAGGAACACACTGCATTTCTAATTGTGATGCTGAATATAGCACTTCGCAGCATTTATATCTGTGATGTTGACCAGAGAACTGCTGATTATGATATGGGGACATGCAGACTTTGTGATGTTGGAAAACAATACAAGAGGACAATAGTGTTTACCAGGTAATTATATGGAGCATGACCATAGAACTAACTATGGCTTTCACAGCACTAGCATGGGAAACAGATAAGGCAGCCACGCATGTGGTGCTCATATCAGACTTCATAAAAAAAAAAACTGAAACAAGACAGCTTCTGCTATGAATGGGTAAACAGCACTCAGAAGTCTCACTTAACCACCTCCACCTGGATCTACACATCCTTGTATGTGAGGGGCAGTCAATAAGCGGACAAGCTGGCACGTCATCAATGCTGTTTGGCAGGTCTATTCAACTAAGTTTACTCAGAGGCCAACATTTTGAAAATAAAAATTGCCACGGGTCGTCAGACTCCAGAGCCCCAGCAAAGAAAGATAATGAATAAAATACAGTTGGCAAATCTGTCCTGCAAGCGACCAGCTGAACAGCTCTGCTGAACTCATCGATTATGTATGGACCAGGCTGGCAAGTATTGCATCATCGTTTGTGGGAAGATGCATGGACACAGATGACATCCTCAGTGCTATATGAACTGGGATGGCAGATAATGACAACCCTCCGCTGCTAACACTATTACTTTACATAAACTTGTGAAGCATGTTGGTGCTGTGTTCATGGTCCAGATAGGAGACTGTAACTAGCTTCTTATGAAAACTATTAGTAGAGTTACCTTGAGATGACTGCTGTACTGAAAGACAGAGTCCATATGGGAATGTTCAATGTTTAGTGTCAATTTTGATAACCCATGACAACAGCAATGTTGATGCAGCACTGTTGAGTACTTTATGGATATAGAACTTCTATCACTACTGAGCACTTTATAGGAAAAAATATATGATTTCAAAATAACTTAGCAAATGGTGGTTCGTTCACCACCTGGATGGCAAACAGAAGTCAAGCAAATATATCATGCGGGGAGTTAGCAAATGTAGGCCGAGTTGTGTGGTCCCCGCAGTAAGAGCAAAACATCCTGCGGAAATGTTGGAAATAGATTTTACACAAACACACAGGAAACTGAAAAAAGTCAATATGGGTTTACATACCTGCAAATCTGTCCAGATTTTTCAACCTCTGCCTCTGCTGCATGTCAGCATGAAGGGGCAACGGACAGCACTTCAAGAGCGTCAATAAGGCTACCAGACGCCGCAAGCAGTCCTTGCTGTTGGCAAACACCAGAGTCCGCCCAGGATGGTGGCATAAAAAGTAGCATAAAAAGTAGGATTGAAGAATAAAATCACATTGAAAAGCTGGTATATGATTGGATATATAAAACATCATATTGATGTAGAAGCTAGTACATTATGAGACTGTCCTATATATACAAACATCTGCTGAATCTTCTATATGTACAAGTACTTGTTGAATGACCTACAAGTAACATTTAATGTTGAATGTCCTATATATACAAATATCTGTTAAATGATGTTCACTAACTGCCATTTGTTTTTTTTTTTTAAATGAGACAGATTATAAATATTAGACTTTTAAAATCACCAGAATTTCCCTTAAGTAACACAAACTTACAATATCATGTGCTTTACATTCGCGAGGATTTTATTCATGCAATACAAACCTACCTTTTTATCTGCTTTACAATCACAAAAATGTCCCTCATGTAACACAAACTTACCTTCTCATCTGCTTTACAATTGACTCGTAGTTCAGTCAAAGTTTGAGCAACTTTATCCTTTGGTGTCAGATCTATCACTTTTGGCTTCTGGCCTATACAAATACGTTCTGTCAAGATTTCTGCGGGTGGGGTGGGGGAGAAAAATATATATTTAGTCAGGATTTTACAATCAGGCATACACATCGCGTACGTTATGAACAAATGCATTCCCACATCTGCTCCGTTTCCCCCCCCCCCCCCCACTGGTAACCAACAAAAGGTTCTCATATTAAGATTGTCAGTGCAGACTTATTAAATGATCCCCTGATGGTTCTCAGACTGATTCAATGTTCCCCTGATGTGTACTCAGACTGATTCAATGTTCCCCTGATTGTTCTCAGACTGATTCAATGTTCCCTTGATTGTTCTCAGACTGATTCAATGTTCCCCTGATTGTTCTCAGACTGATTCAATGTTCCCCTGATGTGTTCTCAGACTGATTCAATGTTCCCCTGATTGTTCTCAGACTGATTCAATGTTCCCCTGATGTGTTCTCACACGGATTCAATCTTCCTCTGATTGTTCTCAGACTGATTCAATATTCTCCTGCTCATGAAAAACTGTCCAGATCCTCTGCTCACAATCACTAAACTATCTTTATTAGTTACGGACACTGTTCTGTTGCTCAGTCCACGAGATTCCCGCTCATTTTCTTGAGGTTGGGATACTCTGTATGTTCCATGAGTGCTAGACAATGACCAGGGGGAGTCAATAAGTAAGACACAAATGGTTGTTTATTTAAGAAGAAAAAAAACCAAACAAACAAACTAAAGATGATAACAACTTGAAACTGTTTATTCTTACACACACACTGTCCCTTTATTCTTACACATACACTGTCCCTTTATTTTTCAACATAATTTTCACCAACACTGATGCACCTGCCCCATCGTTTCATTCGTCTTCCCAAAACTGCTGAACAAAACGGCGTGCTCTGTTTTTCAAACCACAATTTCACTTCAACTTCTGCCTCATTCGTGAAATGTCACCCGCCAAGGTGGGTGTAAACAGCAAAGGTGGAAATCGCTAGGGGCTAAACAGGAAAGGTGGAAATCGCTAGGGGCTAAACAGGAAAGGTGGAAATCGCCAGGGGCTAAACAGGAAAGGTGGAAATCGCCAGTGGCTAAACAGGAAAGGTGGAAATCTCCAGGGGCTAAACAGGAAAGGTGGAAATCTCCAGGGGCTAAACAGGAAAGGTGGAAATCGCTAGGGGCTAAACAGGAAAGGTGGAAATCACTAGGGGCTAAACAGAAAAGGTGGAAATCGCTAGGGGCTATACAGAAAAGGTGGAAATCGCTAGGGGCTAAACAGAAAAGGCGGAAATGGCTAGGGGCTAAACAGAAAAGGCGGAAATGGCTAGGGGCTAAACAGAAAAGGTGGAAATGGCTAGGGGCTAAACAGAAAAGGTGGAAATCGCTAGGGTCTTAACAGAAAAGGTGGAAATGGCTAGGGGCTAAACAGGAAACATTTCCTTATGGATGTCCGGTTCTTTCCCAATATCTCCTCCCAGATAAAAATTAAGGGACAGTCCAATATTTACGTGGGTAAGAGCAGGCTTCCTGCTGCGTGTCTTCGTTTCAAAGTGTGCGATGTGTTCAGTCTTCATTCCGGACTGTGTGTTCATCACCATGAATTTCATGGAATGAGCAGCATCAGTGCCTGAAAAGGAGAGCAGCGTTGCTTCCCTGCATCATGGCATTCTGTATAGCACCAGATGTCGCAATAATCATGTGATGCTGTTATTGCTGACGAACAAAGAGGGCCGATGGCGGTGTCGAAAGTCTGCTGCTGCCGCCGCAATGGCAGCTGCCGCATTCTGACCTCTCTCCAGATCTACTAACGTGTAAAATTGTTTTGTCAATTTGTGCGCGAACCCAGCAGTAGACAACTAGAATAATTGGCTTTTTTTAGGGCCACCCACACAGTACCCAAATTGGCAATTTATTCCCGATTGCACAGAGATTCAAAAACAAAATTTGTTGTTAGCAGCCGGCGTCACTGAGTGTTCTATATTCCATGGTGTAAGCACTTTTAACGACCCCATAATATCTATAACTGACCCTAACCCCAACCCACATATGTCCCAGGAGAGAGTGCACCCTAGGTTGCACGACTGTATGCAGGCTTGGCCCTCCTCCCCAGATAAAAAATAATAGAAACCACCCACAAAAACTGCATCCTCCTAATTGCAACAACACAGAAAAATGCACACCAAAAACAAAGCACATGCTTAACAGAACTTCACAACAAATGAAATGCCAAAATATTTACTATACGATTCATCTACCATCACTGAAATATTAGACCGTCCTGTAACTTGTGGAATTCCTGTGTTTATGGGGAGATACTGGGAAAGTACCGTTTGTTCTTTGCAGGCAGCCCTTTTGCCTTAAAAAAAAAAGCACACAACAGCACGTTGCTCTTTGAGGGTACACTCCGTAACTACAATCGCCATTTGGTTGTCTTTTGTGAATGTGCATGCAACACCCAGCACCAGCCAATAAACAGACACAATGTTCGATGTTGCTGTCACCTAATGACACCTTTAGAAACCACCAATTACATTTTTCTGAAATCCCGTAACCATTTGTGACTTACTGACTTCCCCTCGTAGTAAGAGGAACATTATACTGTCAGATGAGTTTCAGAAACCATCATGTCAAATATTCTAATATATAATGACATGTAAATAAATGTGATAGACTTACTAAGTTTGTCATCATGTTCTGCTTTTTTTCTTCTTTTTTGTCAGTCGCTTTGGTGTTGTAACATCCATGGTTAATGTGGCCGACATCACGAATGTCTGTCGGTTCTTGATTTGTCTGGGACTTCTGTTTGTAATGTACAGATATACTTCATGAGTATGAGTGTAGTGCACATATATACATTACACGGATGGATGGAAATCCTCGATATATATTACATTGATGAATGGAAAGCACATATATACATTACACGGATGGATGGAAATCCTCGATATATATTACATTGATGAATGGAAAGCACATATATACATTACATGGATGGATGGAAAGCACAGATATACATTACATACATCAATGCAAAGGACATATATTCATTACATGGATGGATGGATGGAAATCCTCGATATATATTACATTGATGAATGGAAAGCACATATATACATTACATGGATGGATGGAAAGCACAGATATACATTACATGGATGGATGGAAAGCACAGATATACATTACATAGATGGATGGAAAGCCAAGATATAGATTACATAAATGGATGAAAAGCACATATAGACATTACATAGATGAATGGAAAGCACAGATATACATTATTACATGGATGGATGGAAAGCACAGATATAAATTACATACATCAATGCAAAGGACAAATATACATTATATGGATGGATAGAAAGTCTAAATATACATTACATGAATGGGTGGAAAGACCAGATATACGTTACATGGATGGATGAAAAGCCTAGAAATACATTACCTAAATGGATGTAAAGCACATATATACATTACACAGATAGATGGAAAACCTAGATATTCATTATATGGATGGATGGGAAGCCCTAATATGGATTACCAAATTAGATGGAAAGCCTAGATATACATTACATGGATGGATGGAAATCCTAAAAATATTTTACATAAATGAATGAAAGGCATGGAGTAATTACATAAATGGGGGAAACGCACAAATATACATTACATGGATGTATCCGCTAAATGACATAGGGTTGATGGCTGTTTTTTCTCTTAAGGACTGTGTGGGTCAATAGCTGTTTATCCTCCCAAGGACTGTGGGTCAGTGGCTGTTTATCCTCTCAAGGACTGTATGGGTTGTGTGGGTCAATAGATGTTTTTCCTTTCAAGGACTGTGTGAGTTGATGACTGTTTATCCTTTCAAGGACTGTGTGAGTTGATGGATGTTTATCCTTTCAAGGACTGTGTGGGTCGATGGTTGTTTATCCTCTCAAGGACTTATAGGGTTGATGGCGGCACATCTATTTATACAGATCACTACAGCATTGGCTGGCTGGTGTGACCTGCCTAGTGATTGGGTGTGACCTGCCTAGTGACTGAATGTGACCTGCCTAGTGACTGAGTGTGACCTGCCCAGTGACTGAGTGTGACCTGCCCAGTGACTGAGTGTGACCTGCCCAGTGACTGGGTGTGACCTGCCCAGTGATTGGGTGTGACCTGCCCAGTGACTGGGTGTGACCTGCCCAGTGACTGGGTGTGACCTGCCCAGTGACTGGGTGTGACCTGCCCAGTGACTGGGTGTGACCTGCCCAGTGATTGGGTGTGACCTGCCCAGTGACTGGGTGTGACCTGCCTAGTGACTGGGTGTGACCTGCCTATAGCTGTTTATCCTCCCAAGGACTGTGGGTCAGTGGCTGTTTATCCTCTCAAGGACTGTATGGGTTGTGTGGGTCAATAGATGTTTTTCCTTTCAAGGACTGTGCGAGTTGATGACTGTTTATCCTTTCAAGGACTGTGTGAGTTGATGGATGTTTATCCTTTCAAGGACTGTGTGGGTCGATGGTTGTTTATCCTCTCAAGGACTTATAGGGTTGATGGCGGCACATCTATTTATACAGATCACTACAGCATTGGCTGGCTGGTGTGACCTGCCTAGTGATTGGGTGTGACCTGTCTATTGACTGGATGTGACCTGCCTAGTGATTGTGTGTGACCTGCCTAGTGATTGTGTGTGACCTGCCTAGTGATTGTGTGTGACCTGCCTAGTGATTGTGTGTGACCTGCCTAGTGATTGTGTGTGACCTGCCTAGTGATTGGGTGTGACCTGCCTAGTGATTGGGTGTGACCTGCCTAGTGATTGGGTGTGACCTGCCTAGTGACTTGGGTGTGACCTGCCTAGTGATTGGGTGTGACCTGCCTAGTGATTGGGTGTGACCTGCCTAGTGATTGGGTGTGACCTGCCTAGTGACTGGGTGTGACCTGCCTAGTGATTGGGTGTGACCTGAGTTATGAGTTAGATTATCTTCCATCACTACAGACACATCCACAGGTGCTCAGATTCCCCTCTCAACATATTCATCAGTGTCGCGCAGTTAATAGTGCCAGTCCTATGTTGGTTAACAAGACTTTGTGTGCGTCTGGTGTGCTTCTCATGCTTGGCTTCGCCGATCTTTATTCCCAATTCTCTTCTTCTTAGCAGTGATGTGGACACGTTGCTTCCAACATTCTTAGAACATCCTATCTCTTTATGTAGGTAACTGCACACACAGAAGTGTTTTTCAATGACTCAAACCATTGTCTGCGTAACCAGCCTACCTCTACCCGCTGAATCATGCTCAAAGAATCACTCAGCACACACGCGAGAATAGTCCTGTGATTCTAGCCATATGAAAGCTTGTGTCATGCTGCTGGTAGTCATGGAGAAGGCGCCGTTTGTTTTTTGAACTTTTCTGCCTAAAGAGGGAGCTGTAAATGCTCATGCACTCTTATGTCTTCGTATAATGGACCCTCCTGTGAAGATCAGGACATCTGACTTGTCACTGATAAGCGTGCATACCTCAGCATTGACAGCAGCGGTATTCTGCTCCTGACCACTCCTATTAATTGTCACGAAACAGGACAGTGTGAGATTGGGCACTTTAGACGCTGGCATCCATTCCTCACCTGGATGGATATCTGTAAAGCTGCAGACCTGCATGATGTCATCCTCTGCCCTACCCAGCTTTGATATGCCCCTTTCAAGACTATTGCCCTTTTTTGTTGAAGAGCATGTGGTGCAAAAGGTGCTTCAGATCTGAGTTTATCTTGAGGTATGCACGAGCCCTCTAGATCTTCATCCTGTAGTTCATGGAAGGGAAGTCAAAAAGGTACCTTTTTGCAACACAAGAGATGTCTCCAGTGTACCCCAGAATAATGCGCATTGCTTCATTTTGCACCTTCTCAAGTCTTTCAGTTTGAGTATGGCTGACAGTGAGGATAACTAGAGCATATTTGATGGGAGAAAGTACAAGTGCGACTGCACATGTGGATGCATACAACAGAGTACCATCTGAATACTTGGTGCACATACTTCACCAACCGCAAGTATCTCACTTCATCACCCGCTGTTTCAGGGTCAGGTAATACTCAGGTGTGGTTGTTGGTCCTCAGAACTGATAACCATCAGTCCAGGAGTGTGACCTGCCTAGTTGTTGGGTGTGACCTACCTATTCACTGGGTGTAAAATCTCTCTAGTCACTGGGTGTGACCTATCTAGTCATTGGGCAATTGGGAAATATGGTGGAGAAAATCATGTTTGCTCATACCAACAAATAAGGCACTCAAGTTAACAATTGGGGATCTGGTTAGTTAGTTAGTTAGCTGGGTTATCATCATTGCACTCCGGACATGTCCATAGGTGCTCAGATCATCCCCTCAGTATGAACCCCAACGTCCGATGGCTAAAAGTACCAGTTCTATGTTGATTAACAAGTCTTCTGGTGTAGCTGGTGTGCGCCTCGTTTTTTGCTGTGCCGATCTACACAGTTAGCTACAAGTGACATCTGGCACAGTTAGCTACAAGTGACATCTGGCACAGTTAGCTACAAGCAGTATTTGGCAGTTAGCTACAAGCAGTATTTGGCAGTTAGCTACAAGTGACATCCATCTAGAGAAGCATGAATACTGGTGATCTTGAAGTTATGTAACATACATGCACACAGGCTTTCTTCATGCTGTCATTCAATATGTGACATCTGGCACATTCGCTACATAATGTCCCTTCTCAATCATCCTATCAGCCTCATCGACTACCAAACATAGAACTTTGTCAATCTGGCACAGATGTTCATTACCCTGAAAGTAGAAATTAAGGTTGTGGGTTCGCTCCCTAGCGGAGCCTGACCTTTTTTCAAAAATGACCTTGGCTCCCAAGTCGCCCCAGCCTCGAGTGGGTACCGGGTGGAGTCCCAGGAAGTAAATGCGGCCAGCGTGATGCTGACCACATCACCCATCTTGTGCCGATTGGTCTACAAAATATAGGTCTAGCCCTATATGCCCTATAAGCGTGGATAAGGGTACAGAAAGAAATGAAAAGTGTATTTACTATGGTTGGTGTAAAGTGGTAAGACTAATTTAGGAACGATACTATCAGAAGGAGAGTCGGCACAGAACCAATACTGAACTTTACGGGCAGACAATAAGCCTAATGGTTTGGCCATGTAAAAGGATTGGCATCAGATAGGGCACAACACAGAGCAATGTTATAAGATACACTGGTAACAAGTGCGAGGTCGACCACGCAGAAGAGATATCAAAGACACAGAAAAGTAATTCATACGAAGCGAACAGAAGGGCCCATTCAAGATATCTCTTTCTGCCCTGACACCGTGAGACATTCCAGGAGTAGAGAAAAGAAGAAGAAAAGGACAGGAAAGACAGGTTATATGAGACGCATACTGTCTATATATCCTGATAAAGAATATATAAGACAGAAAAGACGTGTCACATGAGACACATACACTGTCTATATATACATCAATACACAACACATAAGATAGGGAAATGGGTTACATGGGATACATATACCTATTTACAACATATAAGACAGGAAGAATGGGTCATGTGGGACACATATACTGTCTACATTGACAAACCCAAAATATTTCAGTCCTGAAAGAGTTAACTGCATTTTTATTGTTAAAACAATCGGCACACTTTAAACAATAATAGATACAGTACTATTATTTGATCACATACATTACGACATTTTGCTTAGTTGCTACTAGGTTACAAAATCTAGGTTTAGTTATTCGCTGATACAGCAAACGACCATCCCAACCTTTACATCGGCTTACCTGAAAACTTTGTGAATTCTGGTGAGAGTTATATTAGTAAGGAGTAGCTGAGATCCCCTGTAAACTCTGGCCCTATCCTAAAATATCTTATCGGAATCCTACCATTCTTCGATTCTTAAAATGAATATTCCGTGACTTTATCAACCTTGATACTTGTCCGTTGGACAACAGTAACTACTTACTAGTTCTCACATATGAGGATGTTCCTTATGTTACTATTCAAGGTTAGGACTATTCATTAGTGAACCCTCTATCACACTGTCCTGTTTTCTGAGAATTCTCATTAGGTATCCTTACGTAACGATCTTACACCATAAACCATCATCCTGTGCCATGCGGTATCACCAACTGTATATACCCTACATTGCATATATTTATTATGTCATGAAGTATAAAAGTTGAGTAAAGGGGAAGGATACTTTGTCACGCTGTCAGTTTTATTGAGCATATAGGTCTAGACATATATTTTATAAACCAGTTGGCACTTCTGCGGTGATGTAGTCAGCATCACACCAGCCGCCTTTACTTCCCATGACTATAATGGTGTCTATTCAGGGCTGAGTCGAACTCACAACCATCCGATCTGCGGGCGAGTGTTTGTCCACTACATCACAACAATATCGTAATGATAATGCAAAGAATGTTTACTGATAAAGAGTTTTAATCTTTGATTCATATCAGTTTAAATATATATGGCGACTTGAGTATTCACAGGTTTGTTTAGAAGAATAAATATTTATTCAGAGCTCCAGGCAAGGATACATTCCGCCAACAACGCTTACGACATCTACAACATATAGGACAAATCATACGGGATACACAAAGTGTCCATATATATAGATATACAAATTATAAGACAGGTAGGAGAGGTCATATGGGACACATATACTGTTTTATATATACATTTAATCGACATATGAGACAGGAAAGACGGGTCACATAGGATACATTTACTGCTTACATACAGCGCTTACAGATACCTAAATACAACATATAAACAGGCAAGATGGGTCATTTGGGACACATATACTGTGTGTATGTGTGCTCGTGTGTGTGTGTATATATATATATATATATATACTGACATACAACACATAAGACAGGAAAGGCAGGTCATACCTGACAGACATACTAAAACGATATGCAACATATAAGACAAGAAAGATGGCCATATGGGACACATAAACCTGTATAGAACATATAAGAGCGAAATACGGGTTATATGGGACACATATACTGTCTAAATACACTGATATTCAACATGTAAGACATGGAATACGGGTCATATGGGACACACTTACTGTCTACATACACTGACAGACAACATACACGACAGGAAAGACAGGTCATATAATACACATAAACTGTCTACATATATCGATATACAACATATAAAATGGGGAAGATGGGTCATATATAATGGCGACGTGTACTGATATACAACATATAAAATGGGGAAGATGGGTCATATATAATGGCGACGTGTACTGATATACAACATATAAAAGGGGAAGATGGGTCATATATAATGGCGACGTGTACTGATATACAACATTTAAGACAAGAAAGACCGCTCAAATCGGAAATATTTACTATCCACATTTACCAATGTAAAATATATACAAGGGGAAACACAGGCATGTAAGACAAAAATACTGTCAGCAAATACCGATATACAATATAAAGGACAGGAAAGATAGGTCATATGTGACACATATACTGATACACAGCATATAAGAGGAAAGATGATTCATATGGGATATATTTTCTGCCTACCCATACCTATGTACAATATATAAGACAGGAAAGACAGGTCATATGTGACTCTATACTGTCTACATATACTGATATGAAAGACGGGTGCTATGGGACACATATACTGTCTACACGAACTGATAAATGGATTAAGACGAATCTTATAAGACAGATATACTGTCTACAAATAATGATATACAACATTAAAGACAGGAAGATGGGTCATATGGGACACATATACTGTCTAGATGAACTGATTTTCACTAATTAGGATGATTCTTATAAGACATATACTGTCTACATGAACTGATATTCACCAATTAGGATGATTCTTATAAGACATTTACTGTCTACATGAACTGATATTCACCAATTAGGATGATTCTTATAAGACATTTACTGTCTACATGAATATCACCAATTAGGATGATTCTTATAAGACATATACTGTCTACATGAACTGATATTCATCAATTAGGATGATTCTTATAAGACATTTACTGTCTACATGAACTGATATTCACCAATTAGGATGATTCTTATAAGACATTTACTGTCTACATGAATATCACCAATTAGGACGAATCTTATAAGACATATACTGTCTACATGAACTGATATTCACCAATTAGGACGATTCTTATAAGACATATACTGTCTACATGAACTGATATTCACCAATTAGGACGATTCTTATAAGACATATACTGTCTACATGAATTGATATTCACCAATTAGGACGATTCTTATAAGACATATACTGTCTACATGAATTGATATTCACCAATTAGGACGATTCTTATAAGACATATACTGTCTACATGAACTGATATTCACCAATTAGGATGATTCTTATAAGACATATACTGTCTACATGAACTGATATTCACCAATTAGGATGATTCTTATAAGACATTTACTGTCTACATGAACTGATATTCACCAATTAGGACGATTCTTATAAGAAATAAACTGTCTACATGAATATCACCAATTAGGACGATTCTTATAAGACATATACTGTCTACATGAACTGATATTCACCAATTAGGATGAATCTTATAAGACATATACTGTCTACATGAACTGATATTCACCAATTAGGATGAATCTTATAAGACATACACCAAAACATCAACACTTCGCTGACAGCCTTTGCCCGAGCAACACGTTGAACGCGCAAGCCCGCCTCGCCTGAACACGTTGCCCCGCTAACTATCCATTCGTTGCCTGATTATCGATAGCCAGCTACTGGACAGAATCGCTTGATATTCGGCTGAGTCTGTCTCGACTGAGCTATCGGAATCGGCTGCGGGTGGGTCATTAGCAGCCCGTGTACGCACCTAGCCAACGACAACCACCAGAAACAAATATCTACAAGAATCAACAGAGGAAGGAACAACGCCCTAGGTAATTATAAATTTACATTATAAACTTTCCTAAACCGAGACCTAGGGCGTGCGTTTTAACCTCTAAATAAATTCGAGAACTTTTTATAATCGTCGTAGAAAAATGGACACTGCGCCCATTACGATTGAATCACCAGGATCACCAGCACAGGGGACCGCTCCTCCGGGAGCCGACCCTTCAGGGGTTGCCTGATGCCGCTCTCAGTAGCGACGCAAGGACCCCCTCGCCAACGCAAGCAGCGGCAGCCTGGGACCAGCACACCAGACATCATGCAGTGCTCGCGCTGCAATAAAGGGCGTGGCATACAGCTTCGTCGTCCTGCCGCAGCAGCCTCTCGTGCAGATACTGTTCTGGTGTGCACGAATTCAAGGAGTGTCCCGCTGGCTAAAATGACGCACTAATTTTAAGAGACCCGAACAGCAACCGCAAGTGCTTCTAACTGTTCTGGTGCGCACGGTGCGAGATACATGGGCTGCCCGTATCTCCAACAATGTAAGAGGACGCTTAGAACCACCCACGAAGCAGTCCAGACAGAGATACGTGGCACCCAGGTCCTCAGCAGCAGCCCAAAGCAACCAAGTGTGAAGCCAGCACAACGGACACCAGACAGACAAACCGACAGAACGATCACAGCGGCAATGGACCCTGAAATTTCGCTACAAATTTCTGAAATTTTAGCGGAAATTAGAGCTCTCCGCAAAGAAAAGTCCGACACCGACACTGACAGAACGCAGATGCTAGACCTGATTTCGCAGATGCGTGACGAAATCAAAGCACTGAAAGACGACAGACAAGAACAATTATCACAGCAAACAAAGTTGCTAGCTGAAATCAGGGCTCTCTGCAAAGGAAAATCGGACGCCACCAACACCGACAGAACGCAGTTGCTAGACATGATTTCGCAGACGCGTGACGAAATAAAAGCCCTGAAAGACGACAGAGAAGAACAAGTCCTGCAGCAAACAAAGTGGCTTGCAGAGGCTACACAAATGCAGAAAAACCTGACAGAAATGACAATAAAATTGCAAGCAGAAAAAGCTGCAGACGAGACCCGCCGACAAGAAGAAAGGGAGGAGAGAAGAAAAGAAACCGAAACACTTAAGGAAGCCCGAGAAAGCACCTATAAAGAAGTCGCCCTCATGATCCAAGCAAAGGCAGGAGCCGAAACTGCAGTGCTGACGGCAAGAACAGAGCGCGCCCTGCTTGAGAAAGAAAGAGAGGCTTCCAGGAAAGCTGTAAAGCAACCGATTATCAACAAAGCCGACAAAAGCACAGCTACCGAGACAGTAATGACACAACACCAGGCACAGATGACAGATACCGCGACAATCGAAGAACGAAGCGAGGCACCCCGTCAGACTGCCAGCCACCCCAACGCGTGAGCCAAACAGCAGCAGCCAAAATAACTAGCTTCGACGACCTTAAAGCGAGGGTTGAAGAGTACAACAAGCAGGCGGCTCCGCACACGCTGGAGTATTTCGACGAGGTCGACCACTACGTTGTCGGCTACTCTTTCGAGGAATATGGAGATGAAGGCGAAACACCTGAACTGCTTGAAAAGAGCAATAGAGCTGGCCGACTCTGCGACGAGTTAAACGCAGCCCTGGACCAGCTCCGGGCTCCAAAGAAAAAAACAGAATAGAGAGGCAACCGCCAATTCTAAAAGAGCCCGCAGAAAGAGCCAACACCGAAACAAGCCGCCATCTTTAAGGACAGCCTAAACACAACAACCAACAACTGGACGGTGTGTCGACGTACCGGAGCCACTCCCACCCGATCCGCCCACTGGCAAAAAATTACGTAATCACCATTGCACTAACCAAAATCTTAATCTAGTTTATTTTCAGAAAAAGAAGACAACGGAAAAATACCACAGGCCGCCCGACGCAGACAGCCGAGGGCATTGCACAACAAAGGGGACCAGCACTTAGGAATTCCAGTCACCATCATGCCACCTCGCCCCACCCCACGTGTATGTTAATAAATGCATTTCTATTGTATTTCAGACCTAGTGACCTCAGCCGACCAGGGTGGATCCTGCCTCTATCTGTCACTCTCATTCTCCCGACCTCACTATCACATCTACTGGCACATTCGGGCAAACTGACCTCTCATTTGCAGTCTATCTTACCTCCACTACTTCTCCACACTCCGTGGAAAAAAAAAAAAAAAATTTTTTTTTTTTTTTTTTGGGCCGATCACAACAACAGATTGTGACGGCCCTGTTTGTCCTGAAAAGGAACATTGTTCGTATCGACGGCGCAACAGGTATTTGTTTGGCTTTTTCCGGTGGCTTTTAGATCGGCAACCAAGCAGCAACAGGGCACCAGCACAGCGACCAGCACGAGGCAAACCAAGCACCAGCAACAGTCAGCTAGTACCCTTCAATATCATCGCAATGAGATCTGGAACACACCAGAACCCAAAAACCGCAAACAACGCAGCACAGCAAGGAAGCAAACAACAATAATATCAGGTGTGTCTACACACCACAAATAAAAGGAAACCATATAAGACAGCAAAGGACCCTTCTTCGATATAGCAGGCCCTCGGGCGGCTGAAAGAGGATCAAGTTTGGAATTTTTCTTGGACAACTGGCAATGGCAAGACATACTGTCTACATGAACTGATATTCACCAATTAGGACAATTCTTATAAGACATATACTGTCTACATGAATATCACCAATTAGGACGATTCTTATAAGACATATACTGTCTACATGAACTGATATTCACCAATTAGGACGATTCTTATAAGACATATACTGTCTACATGAATTGATATTCACCAATTAGGACGATTCTTGTAAGACATATACTGTCTACATGAATTGATATTCACCAATTAGGACGAATCTTATAAGACATATACTGTCTACATGAATTGATATTCACCAATTAGGATGATTCTTATAAGACATATACTGTCTACATGAACTGATATTCACCAATTAGGATGATTCTTATAAGACATTTACTGTCTACATGAACTGATATTCACCAATTAGGACGATTCTTATAAGAAATAAACTGTCTACATGAATATCACCAATTAGGACGATTCTTATAAGACATATACTGTCTACATGAACTGATATTCACCAATTAGGATGATTCTTATAAGACATTTACTGTCTACATGAACTGATATTCACCAATTAGGACGATTCTTATAAGACATATACTGTCTACATGAATTGATATTCACCAATTAGGATGAATCTTATAAGACATATACTGTCTACATGAACTGATATTCACCAATTAGGATGAATCTTATAAGACATACACTGTCTACATGAACTGATATTCACCAATTAGGACGATTCTTATAAGACATATACTGTCTACATGAACTGATATTCACCAATTAGGACACATCTTATAAGACATATACTGTCTACATGAACTGATTTTCACCAATTAGGACGATTCCTATAAGACATACACTGTCTACATGAACTGATATTCACCAATTAGGACAAATCTTATAAGACATATACTGTCTACATGAACTGATATTCACCAATTAGGACAAATCTTATAAGACATTCACTGTCTACATGAACTGATATTCACTAATTAGGACAAATCTTATAAGACATACACTGTCTAAAAATACTGATATACAACATAAAAGACAGGAAAGATGGATCATAAGGGACACAATTATTGTCCACCAATATCTATGTACAACATATAAGACATGTTTCAAGGGATGCATTTACTGTCAACATATACCGATATATAACATATAAGACAGGTTATATGAGATACATATACTGTCATAATATACCGATATACTACACATAGAACAGGTTATTGAGATTCATATACTGTCAATATATACAGATATACAACATATAAGACAGGCTACATGAGATACATTTACTGTCTACAAATATGGATATACAACATATAACACAGGAAAGAGGTTATATGGGACATACATACAGAATACATATACCTAAAAAAACATATAACACATGTTATTTTCACATACATTTAACAGGAAAAACAAAAGTGTATTTTGAGGACCACATATGAATACAATAATAAGGGTACCTCCTCAACAAGCTGCCACAGTCGGCCGGGTGTAGCTATGATCACATGTGGACGTTTTCCCAAGACACGCCTCTGTTTCTCAATTGACATCCCACCAACAACAGTGGCAAACTGGATAAATATAACATACATGTTTCTAGCAATGTGTACACTGTGTAAGATAATGTCTTTGGCAATGAGTACATTGTTTGGCATACATGTCTCTGCTAATATGTACATTGTTCACTGGTCTTCTTTAGGATCTGTTACACACACACAGTATGAGTACTGGTGATTTTAAACTTGTTTAACATAATACTTAGAGACATTAAGTTTCATGCAAAAAAGCTGAGTGGAAGAATCCAATGTGACGTCTAACAGCGCACAAAGGACAATGATGTTGATGGGGAGCAAGCATTAAATACTTGAACTAGTGCTACTTGCCAAATTCAATGAAATGTTAGCTGTGCATCCGGCTAGTATAGTGGTAGTTAGCATTCACAAACATCTGCTGAAGAAGACAGCGCGTCTGCAGGTTTGCCTTGAGTGCAGTGACATGGCTTCTATCAGTCAATAACCATAAAGGGACTGGACCCGACCCCCCCCCCCCCCCCCCCCCCCCCCAAAAGCTATGACAACAGCTCACAAAAACCAGCTTCAGGCCTCAGAAATGAGATATATGAGAAAAGTGTTTCAAGTGACAAAGTTGGTAATCAGACATTATGTCAAGATCTTGAAACCCAGGCCTTACAAACTTGACTGGATCAGTTACAGTTACAATGGTTTAGTCATGTATGCAGAATGGGGGAAAATCTGCCACTATGGCAGGCATGGGAGGCTAAGAATCAGCGAACTAGAAATCCAGGGCAACCCGACAGAGGACTGAAACAGAACAATGCCAGGGGGGAAAAAAAACTACTGACAGGGACATCTGGCAATCTCTCTGGCAAACCTCCACACCACAAGGTAGAAAAGCAATTAGGCAAAGTATACAAAAAAAAATTTTGTTTTAAAACTCTCTCATACACAAAACAATTTTTTTTAGCTCCTCTTTTACACAAAACATTCCCTTTTAACTCTCTAGTTCATACAAAACATTTTTTTTAGCTCTCTCCTTTACACAAAACATTCCTATCTAGTTCTCTAATATACACAAAACATTCATTTTTAACTCTTTCATTTACACAAAACATTCCCTTTTAACTCTCTCATTTACACAAAACATTTCCTTTTAACCCTCTCATTTACACAAAATATTCCCTTTTAACTCATTTATAAATAAAATGTTTTCCTGCAATGAATTTAAATAAACAGGACATAAACAATCCATTGCACAATTTATTGCCAGGCATATTTCGCTGCATCTTGTCAGATGCATTAATACAGAGTTACAACACACATAAAGCAACCAAAAAAAAAAAACGGTGAATAAATACAAGTGAAAAGGGATACACATAAAACATTCCCTTTTAACCCTCTAATATACACACAAACAAAGTGAGATTTTTCATAGTAGTTAAAAAGTATGTGAAAAAGAGATGAGAGCTACAACCCAACAGTAGTAGTTAACAATAAACCTAGAAAACCATTAATAGACCCACCAGAGATAGCTGAAAGATAGTCATGGAGAGAATACTTCAGTGAGCTTCTTAACCCTTTAGGAGATTGCCAGGAAAAAACAACCAAAGACTACAAAGCTACAGTGCTAGAACCTGAAATACTAATTACTGAAGTAGTTAAAGTCATTAAGCAGTCCCCTAAATGCCAACAGAAATAATCCAAGCAGCAGGTGAAACCAAAATTAGATGGCTCCATAGAATAGTCAGTGTGGCATGGGTATAACAAACTGTTCCCATGGACTGGCAACATGCAATAGTTGAACCATTTTGAAAGAACAAGGAAAGCAAGCAAGAATGCAATCAATATCGAGGCATCTCTCTTTTAAGCTACGTTGGGAAAAATGTATGCTAAAATGATATAAACGAGGCTGCGACCAGTGATAGAATCACAGCTGACAGAAGAACAGATGGGTTTCAGAAGAAACCGAATCTGCACAGATGCAATCTTCACACTTGTATACAAAATATTTCTTACTAAAGAAATGGCAGCAGGCATGCACACACACACACAAGATACAGTAATGAGTAACAGAGAAATGTTGCTTACTGTGGCGTGCGAATGTGCACTAGAACGCACCAGTACTGAGTACTGTTGTGAAGGTATTGTTGTCAAAGGAGTTGATGTTTACAGTCCGAAGGAGACGGACGTGTGGATCCTTGAGGACGCTTTACCCCGGGATCCCACGGAAGCAAACGTATAAAGTTGGATCCTTGAGGACGTTTTACCCCGGGACTCCAATATAGACCTCAGCAGGAAGCTGGTAAATTGTCACAGTTCGGTAGTAAGCCGGTATACTTTCATTACTTAATTCAGACTGCGGAACCGAAATCAAAGATTACTGTCTGGATCTCAAGGTTGGACTGCGACCTATCATGAGGACATATCAGTCCATGGATGTACGAGCGAGCTTTTGTTGATGTGCTTGAATGAGTCTGGATTATATTATTAATTACATATTTTCTCCTTGTGTTGATCATCGATATTGTCAATACACAAATTGAACTTTTAAAAAGAGTACTCGTACGCTACGTTTGGAAGCTTCAACATTCATCATGTTATGTTACACTTGACCAGTGGCATGTTAATTGATGATGCCATTTGTTACATTGCGACACCCCTAGTCATTTTGGTACGCCGCACATCACCACGCAGCCTTTAGAGCACGTCACAATGAAGTTATTACTCTCGTCACACTTACTCTGATATCAGTGTACCTGCCTAGAGCGGTCAGATGTCGCTTCACCTGCACACTTGTATACAAAATATACCTTACTAAAGAAATGGCAGCAGGCATGCACACACACACACATAAGATACAGTAATGAGTAACAGAGAAATGTTGCTTACTGTGATATCAGTGTACCTGCCTAGAGCGGTCAGATGTCGCTTCACCTGCACAGCAAGCTCACGTGTGGGCTCCAGTATCAAGGCCATGGGTGGCTGTGTATCCAGGTCCTAGAGATAAGACATAACAGGCTGGATGTTATCAAAGTGTGCCATGTGTCATCAGCATACTTCGGGGTACCAGAATATGACCAACTTCCTCCAGTAGACAGAAGGACTGAGACCAGTTTGTGGTCACTTTGATTAGACATTTTTCATGTCATTATTTTTACAAATAGTGGGAACTTATTTTCATTTGGTTTGTCATTGTTTGCTTATTTTGTACATGGGGTTGGTAATGCATTTCAATTTATGTCAGGGTAAGCACCTTTTCTTCCCTTTGATTGCTCAAGCTCTGAAAGCCAGAATTTGCCCCTAGGTCACTGACTGATATGCTTCTCATGCTGTCCTTGATGATCCTGATACTGGTGTCTTGTATTTTGTCCAGTCTGTTTAGATTGGGGATGATTTAATGGTCATGTCTGTACTGAGATTCAGTTTGTGATTAAATGTACAGGGGATGGTTTCATCTTTATGTCTGTACTTAGAAAATGCTCATAGGGATGGTTTTATCTCAATGAATGTACTGAGATATTCCTAACAACTTTTGATTGTATGTACACGTGTTGTTATCATGTATGTAATAAGTTGTTATAACATGATTATGTACTTGTGACTATACTAAGATATCACTAACACCAAAGCTTTGATTGTATGTATTGACATCTTGTGACTATCTTCCTCTGTCAACAGGTTTGTTTTTGCAGCTTAATCTTGATGACTTACTTTTCCAAAGCACTGCCCTAAAAAAAAATACATTCTCGTTTTTGCAGCAATCTATACGACATCAGTCCTCCACACTCTGCATCAGAATTCAACATCAGTCCTCTCACTCTGTCAGACACAAACTTTGACCACAAGACAATACAACACTGACTTATACCACAACATCTGCACGTAATCTTAAGTGTAACCAATCGCAGAATCGGCAACCCATGATAAATACCAGACAGATCTCAACAACAGTCAAAAGTTTAATCCAAGTATCTGGACATCTCGGTGTTTTAGCCAGTCAGCTTTCCCCCAAACCATCCTAAAACTGGGTGAAAAGCATCCAGAACATAACAGTTATCATGAAACTAAGATACACTAACAAAAACTTGATTGTAACTTGTACAACATATAGAGTACAGGTTTGTTAAAATCATGACACTTTCGCAAAATATCATTCTGCTGAATCGACATCAGCTCATCTCCCGAGAGCATCTTCCTCTGTCGGTGACTTTGTTTTTGCAGCTGCTAATCTTGAGCGTAAAATTCTGGCAAAAATGGGAATACCGAAGGCCAAAGTTTTCCCACTGCCCTAAAAAAAAAAATACAATTGCAATAGTTTTTGCAGCAAAATTCATATACGACATCAGTCAGACTACAACACATACAACATCAGTCAGAATACAACATCAGTCAGAATACAACATCAGTTATAATACAAAATTAGTCAGAATATAACAAATACAACACTGGTCATAATACAACATCAGACAGAATGCAACAACAGTCAAAATTAAACATAAACAACATCAGTCAGACTACCACATCGACAGAATACATTACAACATCAGTCATAAAATAACATCAGACAGAATGCAACAACAGTCAAAATAAAATATAAACAACATCAGTCAGACTACCACATCGACAGAATACATAACAACATCAATCATAAAATAACATCAGACAGAATGCAACAACAGTCAAAAGACAAAATATACAACATTAGCCAGAATACAACATATACAACATCAGTCAAAATACCACACACCCAACAGCAGTCAGAACACAACATTAGATATAATACAACATGAGTCAGAACAAAAAAATAATAGAACATCAGAAAGAATACAACATCAGTCAAAATACAACATATACAATAGCAGATGGAATACATCAGTTGGTGTTGTTATTGATACTGCTGGTAACCTCTAAGACCCGAGAGGGCCTGGTACTAAAACACAGAGTTCACAATCTATAATCTGATGCTGTATAAATAAATGAGGAAACATCCAAGTTGGATGTTCTAATGTTTCAGCTGCTGCCAGGAGAGTAAAGACCATGTGCTACCCATGCAGCAAGATCCCTATCTCAACAGGGCTTGTTTAAAACAAATGAATAAGCTGATCCTGTCTAAATAAATGGTGAAAGAAAATCTAAGTGAAATGTATTACTGTTTCAGCTGCTGCCAGGATATCCCTCATATCTCTGATAGCGCTAGGAAGGACCAAGTTTTGTATTGGCGTAGGAACATCAAATCCCTCATCTTTTAACGCTGGCAGGAGCACATCAGGCACATAGAGGTTCTTCCACTGTGACATATCTGCTAGAAGAACAAAAGCCACAAAAGACATCAGCATCGAGTGCCTCACCGACTGGCGCAGGCGATCATAAACTCACCACAATGTACGACTGTGTGTATCAATTTGTGTGCTGACATCTCTCCAATCCATGTCAATAGGCTGGCTGTCTCTCTCTTTTCAGTGGTCACAACATGTTCTAGTTTTCTTTTTCTCATAGCATGATAAAAAAATGACGACAGTCTCTTTCAGAAATTTGTGATAAGTTGTCTTCAAGCACTCGCCTGTTTGAGTCCCAGGGAACGCATCACGTGCTATTTTGTTACAACCGCGATGCCCAAATGGCGCGTGACAAGTGATGGTTTTTAAGCTACCACTGACCGGTTGTAAAACGCAGACTGCCAAATTTCAACTCCCTTTTGAGTTCTTTGTGTCTGATATCAAGCGTGCTCATTCATAAATGTGGGTTGAAAGCCGAAAATATCGTATATTTGTGAGATTCCCGAGTTACTGTTTGTTTGTTTGAAAAGAATACGGCCGACAAGCACTATTTTATGTGCATGCCAACGTGATTTACAGCCTCAGAAGCCTAAAATTTAAATAAACTATGTGTATTTTTTTTATTTTATCCTAGGTTAGATAACTTTGCGAATTAGGCGCGTTTCAGTCATTTATAGAGTCAAACTTTGATGAGGGATATGTCTAATGTGTACCTCACGTGATGGGTACAACAATAGCAGTCAGCTGGCACAAAATAGAACAGCTAAATCAAAGATGGGTGTTTGGTAATGGTTCCTAATTTTGACCGCTTTGAAAATAAAGTTTGAACAAAGAGTCTGGAACATTAGACTGCACAATTTATTTTAGCAGTGGGGCATATTTTCGCTGTATCTCAATCAGGCGCTAACGCTCCAGTAACAATTAAGGCTTAAAATTCGGGCAGTTGGGTTAGCTGAATCCTAGAAACTCGAAACACAAATTCGGAGTAGATTAAATAAAAAGAGTGGTTCACCAAGGTAAAACGTAGAAACGACCATTGCCTTTTTGTGCTACAAAGTTCTGGCTTCAATCTGCCGAGAGCTGAAGCTTCAACAGTATGAAGTAATCTATCGGTTAGCCAAGGTAGTGTAAAAATAAAGAAGGAATGAAAATCCCTGTATAATTTTGTGAACGGAATTAGAATATGGCATGCAATTCTCTGATGATGGATTCATTTCGACAAGTTACCTGATTCGTTGTTGTCTAAGGTGTTAGTGAACTCTGCATTGCTTTTACAACCTCTAGTGGAATATGTTGAACAACCAAGTTGTTCCAGTCGTCGAGGTGATTCATGCCCAAGATGATGCAGCTCTACAGGTGCATTAAACTATGGTAGATGATGCTATTCCCCTTATTATTTAGGAACATAGCTACAAAATTATAGGCAAATTGAGTTTTATATAAACTTCGTTTTGTGTGAAGATACTAAATGTTTTGGGAAGCCAGTTTTCTTTACCAAATAATGGTGCTCTATGATGCTTCATAAGATTATCTGGAACAAGATCTAATGTATAGACTGAGTTTATATTTTACTTATACATTACTAAGTGGTTCATATTCACTTGTTATTCATTTTGGATACATTTTAACAAGTTTTTATAGGGTGCCACATTGGTAGAAAAAATTTTCATTCCATTTTACTAATTTTTGTAAACATAACGTGTTTATTTACTAATATTTAATTACTAACGCAATTATTTGTTGAAGCTCTATTCTAAAATTATTTCTCCTGCTAAACCCCCTGGGATTCAAAAAGTTAACCATCCAAGGAATTCTAAGGATTCTTCTGTAAAACCACATCTCCGATGTCCGAAGGTATTGTTTGGCTTGTTTATTATTGTCCAAGAATTCCAGCTATATGTTAAAACTGGCTTTATATAGCATGCGACAGACTTACAGTATCTTATACCATTTAAAACAGAAAAGAACTCACAAATGGTGAATACTGGTAAATTTGTACCATTAACTGATTGCAATTTTAAGGCCAACTGCGCTGTTAGAAAAAATGTCTGCATCTGGCAGCAAAATATTGCCACAATCCCTAACTATTAACATTGATAAAACTATTTTCCAGAGAATACATCCACACTATTACAACCTCTAAAAAAAAGTATATCTCATTGTTATCTAGTGTGTGTGACTATGTATGAGTGTGTGTATCTATGTACTCAAGTGTGTGTGTTTATGTATGTATGTGTTTGTGAGTGAATAGGTTTACGTATGTGCACGCGCATGCATTTTACCACTCATGTTTTTGACTTGATATTCATAATATGCATATTATTACACAAACATAACATGCGTTATTTATAAAATACAACAGCTGTGTGAAAGATGGGTGTTTGGAAGGGCCTGTGTGTCTAATTTGTGACCCTTTGAAAATAAAGTTTGTTTAAACTTGAAGTCTGGAGATTAACTGCCTCTTTCTTTTAGCAGTGGGAGCAGTGATAACTTACTGGCTTAGTGATCCCTCAAGTGGGCGCTAACGCTCCCTTGGAAGTGTCAGGTGGTCGAGGGCTTATTAGTCAAATTCGGGCAGTTGGGGTACTTTAATATTCCAGGTCGAGGTAGCAACCCCAAGTGCAATTAGGCGTAATGACTAAATAATAGAGAGTGGCAGAGAAAAAGAAGATGGGAAAATAACCTTGCATAAAATGTGTGCATGTCATTCTGGCTGCCATTTCTAGACCAGAGTGTCATTTTCAACAGGTTGCAGTTAGGGGCAATCAGTAAGCACAAGGTAGTGGTAGAGACAAAGAAGAAATAGAAAATGGAACAATATCATTTTCATGAACTATCCAAGATGATGCAAGTCTCTAACCGAAAACCTGCATGCATCAATATCTACTGAACTCTTAGCATTTTTATGCTTTAAGTCTTCCAAAAGGTAATTCATGATATCTATCCAAGATGAACTGACAGTCTCTAAGAAATCTAATTTGATTTTTCACTCTTTGCGGAGATGCAGGCATTTTTGGTCATTTTCACAAATGGCAGAAGAAGCAATATCCTCTCTCCAGACCACTTCTCCCAGACTTATTACTGATTGGTAATCTATGTAAAATTCTGTTGATGTCTTTTCAAATGCATGTTAGCCCTGATGCGCCTAAGCTGGGAAAAGAGAATCTGGGCAAGACGCTTTTCAATAAATCAAAGAAGAGGGGCTTTTCTAATTTCTCTGCTGCAGGTATGGTCACATTGTATGGATCCAGTTAGCCATAGACCAGAAAGGCTGTCATGACAGCTATAAAACACCCAGTCACCTAATGGCCTAGGTATTTCTTCTGTCCTGTTTCCCACTATTTTGATATATGTATATTTCTGTCTAAAAATTTCCCCTCTTTGGATGTATCTATTGATAGTTAGTACCTTACACTTTGACCTTTTATTTTAACCTGTGTTTTGGCTAACAATAGCTTTATACTAAATAGTTTTTCTTGTGTTACTGTAAAGTTCTCTGAGGTTTCCTTTCCTGCTGCTATTTCTCCTTCTTGTGCTCTTTAGATATTTCACTTTATCTGCCCTTATATGCCTCTAACTTCCTTGTTGGCTTCTGTGTAATTCTCCTGAGCTCTTGCTTTAGCAGCTCTGCTATTGTTTAATTCTGCCTTTTTACTTTTCCTATCTTCAGTCAGTTTAATGGTTTCTGGTGTTATCCATGCTTTATGTTTCCTTTCTTTCTGACCAAGAACTTCTACGCAAGATTCATTCCAGATTCCTTTGATCTGATCCCAGCAGACTTCTGTGTTGACATCTTCAGCTAACTGCTGCAACACCTGGTACTTATTAGAGACCGTAACTGAGAACTGTTCCTTAATTTCTTTATCTCTGAGAAAGCCTACATTATATTGGTTTCTATGATTATAAGATGTTATAGATCTTTTTAATTTCAACTTGATTTTACTTATCACCAGGAAATGGTCAGTAAATACATCGGCACCTCTGAAAGCCCTATCGTAAAGGGATGATCTAAACTTTTTGTTAATACATATGTGGTCAATTTGATTAGTTGTCTTATGGTCTGGTGATTCCCATGTTGCCTTGTGTATACTTTTATGGGGAAAAATACTTCCACCAATAACATACTGGTTACCTGCACAAAAATTTGTGAACAATTCTCCATTTTCATTCATTACTCCTAAACCATGCCTCCCCATAATTTCTTCATAACCTGTGTTGTCTGATCCTATCTTAGCATTCAATTCACCCATCACAATTTTTAAGTTGCCCTTTCTTTCATTATTTATAATATTTTGAAGCTGCATGTAAAAATCTTCCTTAACAGATGCATCTTTACCATTTGTTGGTGCATAGCACTGTATTACCGACATGTTCACCTTCTGTTTTACTGTTCTAAAAGATGCTCTTATTATTCTGGGACTCACAGCTTCCCATTCTATTAGTGCCCTGTCTGCTTCTTTTGATAGCATCAGGGCCATTCCTTCACTGTGCGGCGAATTTTCCTCTGTGTGTCCTGAGAACAAAATAGTTTCTCCTGAATTAAGAATACTTTTCCCTGTCCCAGTCCATCTAGTTTCACATAACCCCAAAATACTAATTCTATAATGTTTCATTTCCTTTGCTACTTCCATTGTTCTCCCTATATCATAGAGAGTTCTAACATTCCAGATGCCAATTCTGGAGGTTTTCCTAGCTGAGAGGAGGCAAGTCAACGATCCAGACTCCCTACGGCTTGGTTATACCTTCAGGTGTCTCATACTGGTTAGTGGTGAGACCCCTATCCAAAACCACATAACTGCTGATACTGGTGTAGGAGAACATTCCTGTCGAAAAACCTGCACTTTCTGCATCTGGCCGGCATACAAGCGGCATTTGTCCAAGGTATAGGAGTCAAGTTTAAGCCTTGTGAAATGTTTCACCATTCTAATCATTAGAAGGTCTATTCAAATGGTGGCCTGTGGGACCAGATCTGGCCCATAGAGGCATCACAAGTGGCCCGTGAATCATTTCTAGTTGTTTTATATCAATGATCTTTCTATGCTGGGGCTCAGATCACTGACCCGTGACGACCCCCCATTTCCAAAAACTTTTGCCCCTGAATAAACTTAGTGGAATAGCCCTGCTGTACACCATGGAATTGTATTCATAGACAGGTCAGTTATGCGCTGTGATTTCTGTTAATGCATAATTTCTCATGGAATCACCTAGGACAGTGTAGGCATGACATTATCTCTTTTACAGTGACGCGTTTTGGAAACTACAACAGGTTCGGCCAGCAGTCGGGTGTCCTACTTTTATCACTGGCTGTATTCTGAGCACTGAATGGACTTCACAGTTAATAATTTTATGTTTAATCAGACTGTGGAAGGAATTACCAATGACCATATATCCATCTTTGACGGAGGAAAGTGTATAAAAGAGGATTAGAGTTTGTAGCGGCAGTATCCCCATTTCCACTTTTTAAATCACCGGGCTTGTCCTAAGGTGGGTATGCATCGGGCGGGGACAACAATGGCGGCACTCTTGGTGGACAGTTTTGCTCGCAATGCTTCTTTTTTATTTTTTTGGGGAGGGGGGGGATTGAAAAAAGAATAATTTAGTGGACTCCATAGAGGCATCTGCTTATGATATAGTTATGTAGATCTCATTTCTGATGGGTAAATACAATGTCTGTGACGGGCAAATAAGGTATTAACTTGATGGAGTCAAACATGTGCAAGGACTAATTATTAGATCATGTACCTGCATCATTCTGGTGACTTTTGCTGGTGTCAACACTGCAATCTTCAGTTGCTGGCCTCTCTGTAAATACCTGACTTTGAGCATAGTTCTGGTTTATGACTTTCTCTGATGGTTTATGTGAAGGTTCTACTTTATCATCAGTGGAGGCTACAACTGTCTCAGCCTGTTTCCTTTTCTTCTTTGATTGTTTATGTGTTGGCTCTACTACATCAACTGTGGAGGCTACAACTGTCTCAGCCTGTTTCCTTTTCTTCTTTGATTGTTTATGTGTTGGCTCTACTACATCAACTGTGGAGACTGCGACTGTCTCAGCCTGTTTCCTTTTCTTCTTTGATTGTTTATATGAAGGCTCTACTACATCAACTGTGGAGACTGCGACTGTCTCAGCCTGTTTCCTTTTCTTCTTTAACTGTTTATGTGAAGGTTCTACTACACCAACAGTGGCGACTGCGACTGTCTCGGACCATTTTCTTGGTCGCTTCCGCTTGCTCAGCAAGTTTAATTTTGAACTGGCTTCCTTCTGTCAGATGTAAAAAAAAAAATATATTAATATTCTAGAACAAAAACAAAGAAAGAAACTATTCCTATTATAACCGTTACCCAATATCTTTGGGGCTTGTAAAGCCCAACAGTCTATGCTACATGTCATCTAGCAATCCATATTTACCTAAAACATATCTTCTTCTTTGTTCAACAGACTGTAAGCTCTAGCAGAAAGTCCTGGCTGCTCGTCCATTTGGACTTTGTGCTAGGGTCTGAGTTTTGCGTGGACATCCATTTTACTGGCTTATTATTTGTGTGCGGTTGGTGGTTCCTTGCCGCTCTGGCGAGTCCCAATAAGTTGGCTCCTACAACATGCTTGTTGGAGAGGCAGTGTTATTCTTGTTTTTCCCACAATGTGGCATGTGAACCCACATGGGGATCAAACACACAACAGCCCATGTTTACCTAATACATCATGCAACAGCCCATGTTTACCTAATACATCATGCAACAGCCCATGTTTACCTAATACATCATGCAACAGCCCATGTTTACCTAATACATCATGCAACAGCCCATGTTTACCTAATACATCATACAACAGCCCATGTTTACCTAATACATCATGCAACAGCCCATGTTTACCTAATACATCATGCAACAGCCCATGTTTACCTAATACACCATGCAACAGCCCATGTTTACCTAATACATCATGCAACAGCCCATGTTTACCTAATACATCATGCAACAGCCCATGTTTACCTAATACATCAGTCTATAGTTACCTAAAACACCATACAGCTATCACTCATCTATTTGCAGCCTCTTCTACTTTTGATCTCCTCTGCATCTCCCATTCAACCCAGTCAGTTATTCCGCAAATTGAGGTTTCTCATAACTTTATCCTTACCTACCATCCTCACAAACATCTGTCACAAAAACATTCTCCTCAGTCATCTCTACATTCTAAGGGCTGACACTGCCACCAACATGATTATCTCTGAATTTCCCCTAGTGGCGTACAGACATGACTGCAACCTTAAGGACGTTCTGCTCAGGAGTCAGTTACATCCTTCACCTAAGTCACACTTCTATTGCAAGAAAGCTGTATGCAAGACTTGTCTATGTCTTTTGGGGGACAAGGCTGGAATTCCTGAATGCCACCTTCCACATACATGAGACATTCTACTGCATGAGCCGCAATTTAATTTACACCATCAAATGCAGAGATGTGGCATTAAATATATCGGTGAAATAGGTCTACGACTGGCTGACAGGTTCAGACCATCTTTTGGAAATGCAGAACAGGCCCTGAAACCAGAATCTCTGCACTTCAATTTTCAGGGTTACCAAGTTGTCCGTGACATGAAGGTAACAGCCATTTAATCTAGACACTCCAGCTACAGTTTGCAAGTCTTTCGAGAATCAATTCATTTTTTCCTTGGGTACACAAACACCTAGGGGACTGTTGACATATTACCTAAAACATCACACAACAGTCCACGTTTACCTACAAAATCAGTCACACAACAGTCCATGTTTTCCCTAAAACATCCCATGTTTACATGCAACATCACCAATGAACAATGGTCCATGTTTACCTCACAAACAGGCTCAGTTGAGATATCTTGGATTTGATATTTAAATCTCTATCCAGCTGTGATTGTTTCAGTTTCATAAGGATAAACTAAATTAAAACTTCACTAGCATCCCCAGCACAAGAAGTTAAGTGTACGCATCAAAATAATTAGTATTATTAGTATAGTATAAGTAAGTAGTAAAGTAAAAGACCCTTTTCCATGCCTTTAGGCGTATAGGGCATATAGAGCTAGACCTATATTTTTTATAGACCAATCGGCATAAGATGAGTGATGTGGTCAGCGTCATGCCAGCTGCCTTTACTTCCCGGGACTGCACCCGGTACCCACTCAAGGCTGGGTCGACCTAGGAGCCAAGGTCATTATTGAAAAAAGCCCAGCTCCGCCAGGGAGCGAACCCAGAACCTTCCGATCCAAAGTGAGCATCTAGCTGCTCCGCCACAGCGACTCCCATTAGTATAGTATACAGTATATAAATATAAGTATAAAACAACCATTCAACTTTATAATATAACTAGCTGTACCCGGCCTCGCGTTGCTGTGGCCCAGAATGGTGAAATGGAGAGGAAAGAAAATAGCTCTCAGCTAACAGTGTCTGTCATCTCCTCTCCCCTCGACCCAGTCATATCTCCCTCTCCAAAGGATTGAAAAATTATCCATGGCGAAATTATTAAAATAAAAATAGTTAAGAAATGAGAATTTTAAATAATGTTTTCAGCTCTCTTAGTTAACAGTGTCTGGTATCAACTCTCCACCCCCCCCCCCCACCCACTAATCATATCAATCTCTCCGAAGGATGGTTGGAAAATCATCACCTTGCGAAATTAATGAAATAAATATAGTTAAGGAATGCCAAAAAGAGCAACCAAGAGGTTTTAAAAGAGGCGGGAGCCCGAAGACAACTTATCACTGACATCAGAAGGAGACAGTCATCATTTTTCGGCCATGTTATGAGAAGAGGGAAAATAGAACATGTTGTGACCACTGGAAAGATCTGTGGAAAGAGGGATAGAGGAAGACAACGAGAGAAGATGCTTGACAGTCTTGTTGCATTGCATGGAGGTGTGTTGGCACACGAACTGATACATGCTGCAGGAGATTGCAGATTATGGAGAGGCATGATCACCCACGCCAGTCGGCAAGGCACCTGATGATGATGATGATGATAAGGAATTAGAACTTTAAAACAATGTTTTAAGCTCTCTTAGTTAACAATGTCTGGCATCAACCCCCTTACCCCTCCCCCAGTAATCATATCATCCTCTCCGAAGGATGGGAGTGTCACCATGTGACAAAATAGTGTAACTAAATTGAGCTTGGCATCCGTGTCCACCCAGACTTAAATATGTAGCATTAATTTGTACTAAGAAGTAAATGTGACCAGTGTAACAGCTACCACATCACCCATCCAGTACCAGTACTACTGCAACCACTACAACCATCACAATAACAACAAAAACTGTCACTACAGTCTGTGTAGAAAAGAGGAGTTAGCGCCGCATGCTTTTGCCACGGACTTTTTAGTTTAATTTTGCCCCCGACATAGGGAAAAAAAACTTCATCACATAACCAGTGATGAAACCACAGTGAAAAGTACACTATACTCACGAATAGCAGAAAAAAATACCCCGCACCTGTCATCATCTCTCCCTCTTCGAGGGAACAACTTTTAACTGACCTTGGCATCCGTGTCCATCCAAACTAAACTGGACTGTAAGTTGTCTTAGTTAACAGTTTCTGTCATCGCCGAATAGTTGTTGATCGAGAAGTGTCGCGGAGAGGCTAATTAGGACCTAACTGAAATTGGATGTCTTTGGGCGAAAGGCGCAGATATCGCAGCCTAGCTGTAAACCACAACACGTGGCAACTACCCTTTTAAGGGAAAAAGAAAAATTATCACCCAGCGGGGAATCGAACACCGGTCACCCGCGTGAAGGATGACATAAAACTATACTACCGACGACTGAAGAGTTTTAGGTTAGATATCGCAGCCTAGCTGTAAACCACGAACGAACGAACAAACTTTATTTTCAAAGGGTTATGAATTGGGCACGCAGGCACGTCTGATATTCAGCCCTTCTAAGTTTTTCTTTTTTTTTTCATCGAACACCGGCTGTGAATTCCAGTGGAAGGTCAGGGTTAATCGTCCGCTTGGACTTTTGGCTTTCACCTGGACCTGATTTTTGCGTGTACAACCGTTTTTCATTTCCCTGCCTCTTGGGCAGCTGTACGCCGACTTTGAAGGAAGACGTCAGGCCTATTTCTAGGGTGACTGTGGCCATTGTTTTGTGTGGGTCGAGACGTTGCCTGATTTGTGTGGTGTCCATTTTGTCTCCTTCGCCGCAGGTATTGCCCCCAGAGTACCCCTTTGGGGCAGCCCCCTGTGGAACAGTTGGCCCTCAAGGGAAGGCAGGGGCAGATCATGGGCATTCCCCGCCATCCAAGGAGGCTTCCATGCATGCAGAGCCGGCACATATTGCTCTGATTCTGGGCTCACCCAAGGAATCGTCACGTCCTGCACATGCCTGCTTAACCTCACAACCGTATCAGGCCTCCCACTCGACAGGGGCTGCGCCCTCTGGAAGTCAGCGGGGAGCAGCCCGTGGGCTTTGGACTTTTGTGACCACACAGATAGGTACATTAGCCTGACAGAATTTCACATCCTGAATCAGGCGTATCGTTATCAGTTTTGTCCCAACACTCGGGCGAGTGGGGTCTTTGGGTGTGGATATTCGGTCTTTTTCAGTTCAGTGCAAATTTTGATGGTCACATTTTGATCCGTATGATCTAGTTTTGTCGGACATTTAGGCTTAGCCATCCGATGGATGGTTGCTGTTGTGGTGTACCCCAGCGCGGTGACGACGACACTGAGGGTTAACCGAGGATGTACGTGAATGGCCAGCCTATGGATGGTTGTTGTTGTGGTGCACCTCAGCGCGGTGACGACGACACTGAGGGCCAACTGAGGATGTACAAGGATGGCCAGCCTATGGATGGTTGCTGTTGTGGTTGTACCTCAGCGCGGTGACGACGACACTGAGAATTAACAGAGGATGTGCAGTGAGCAATGATCTCTTTACTCAGCAGTCTTTTAACCAAGGGTTGTAATTTTAGCTGTATGTTTGTCAACCCTACTCATGTTCCTAATGAGTTTTGATAACATTTTTCACCCAAGCGTTTGGGGGCGGGCTGATGAGAGCCACAAGGACACATCACCTCTGGGGGCCGCCAAACTCCGAGATCCCCTGACAGCTCTGTTAATGCTCATTTGAGACATTATCTGTGGCGCACGACGAGGACGTGCTGTAGGGGTCTTGCCTGAGGTTCCGTACAACCAGGATAGTGAAGGACTGGCGCCCGAGTGACGTACGGAGTATCTCCTTATACACATCATGTGGGACTTAACTTCCCCTCACGCCTGTGACATAAATCACCGCGCCACCCTTCTAAGTAATCTAAGCACTCATTTTTCATAGTACCAATGCCTGTTATCACTAATGCATGTTATGGATATAATAAAGAAATATTAAATATGCATTATTTAATAGTGCATACACACATCATGTGTACACAATCTTACACACTCACATATATATACTCTTACATTCTCATACATGCGTATTCATATACAGACATACCTAATACATACATACAGGCATCTACATACATGCACAAACAGAAAACAAACACACATACATGCACACACATTCATTCCATACATACAAACCTACACATGCATGCATGCATACACACACATACAATCACATGTACAGTCACCCACATACACCCACTCATTCACAATCCCATGCATACATACAGTGTCATACACACATCTATACATACACAACACAACGTGCCAACGGCCCTCTCGAACGAAGATTACCCATGACATGACCATTGAGCATTACGTGGCAGGCTAGCTGTAAACCCTAAAACCTAAAAAGGCGTAGATATTGCAGGCTAGCCATAAACCACAACACAACGGGCCAGCCGCCCAGTTTATGGCTAAAAAAAATTATATCATCTAGCAGGGAATCGAACGCGGGTCACCTGCATGATAGGCAGAATAGTTAACAACTACGCTACCAAAAACTCAAGCAAATAGTAGAAAAGAAACTATATATAATAGTAATAATACAAAGTTCAATCAATAAGAGCTCAGCAGTCAAATATGGCCGATCACATAAAAACAAATCCGGGCCGGCAACGAAACAAACAATGATTTAGCCGTTGCTGGAGCTACGTCGTTCGTGGTTTGTGCGATTTTCTGACAAAAAAATCACGCTTCGAGCCAAAGGCAACGTTGTGTGTAAATTTGAAAGCAATCGGTTCAGTAGTTTCCGAGTTTTTAGCTTTAGCTTTACATTCATCATCGGAAAGTTTACATTTTTATTAATATAGATAATGATTTGACATCGTTGTACTTACATTCAAATCTACATCGGAATGTAGCAATTCATAATCCGTTAACTCCTGAATTTCCACTAGATGATCAAACTGTTGTGAGTTGAATAATTCTTGAGGTATGGACAGAGTTGTCCATGCCGACTTCTCTTTCAGGCCCACGCACTTCGCCATTTTCTGCCACTGTTTACGAATGTCGGTTTGGAGCTTGAATGCTTATTACAAAGGTTTATTCACGTCTTTATGTAAACTTTTAACAAATGTTTTAAGTATACGTACTACTTTATTATAAAACGTGTGAATGTTTTTCTTTTGTTGTCTAAATGTGAATAGAAAATGCATTAACACGTGACGAGATTTAAAAAAAAAATATCGTTTCCAGTCCAGTATTAACGAGACACCGGAAGCAAGATGACCTCTCCTGCTACAGATAACCAATTTAGCCACTTTCTGCTACAGAGGATCACTATAGCTGAGCATAGCTATAGATTTTTATGTTGTCTAGTGTGTTCTTCTATCTTTCTACTTTTTTCTATGAGTGCCCGTCAATACAGTTTCTCTTTATTTTTTATGTATGTTTAATATTTATTGAAAACGGCCAATAAAAATATTCCTTAAATTTATCTAGGGAAGCGCCATTCGTGGTTGCTTAAAAATAAACTGAATATTCTGGAATAGTGTTATTTTTTTTACAAGGTTTCAATTGCGTAGGCAGTGAATAGTGTTCACACCCAAATTGTGTTGCTTTCTCGTGCGGGAATTATGAGCTATGATCACAAAAGTGGTCTTAAACACAATTGACAACTGCGTTGTCACGATTACAAAAATCCCCACGATTCACACCCAATGGACACGGTGAACATTTGAGTCTGCATTTCACATACCCGAGTACGATGTTTTATTTACAAACTAATAAAAACGAGCCATCGGATAACTGTTCGTTTTTTTTTTTTTAAACAGTATTTACAAAAGCAAGATAGCGGCAATGGCGGCAGTGGGTATATGGAGAATGTCTAAATTAGCCGTCTAAAATTGCGTCGAGCACAGGGCATCAGTCGATCGGGTGCTTTCATCCCCAGGCCTAACCAGCAGAACCTTAGACCCATACTTTCCTTAACCTACCACCCTCATAACATTGCAATCTAGAACATCATATTCCATCATCTGTCTATCCTCCGAGCGGACCCAATAGCCAACGCTGTGTTCTCAGACACTTCTACTGGCATATAAACGGGAGTGTAACCTTAGAGATATGCCTGTACACAGTAGTGTACAGGGACCTGCCCCATCCCGTCCGGGTACTCAGTCTTGGCCTAGATCTCAATGCAACACTTGCCCATACGTACTTCATATTTCAGATGTCACTTTTCCTTAGGGCACTTCAGCATCACAGAGGAATTCTCTTGTACCGACAGAGACGTCATCTTTGCTATCATCTGCAAAAAGACAAGTACATGGGTGAAAGTGATTTTCCCCCTTGGCGGACAGATACCGCCAACACTTTCATGACATCGCCAACAAAACCGTTAGACCAGTTTCCACTCGTTTCAACAGCGCCGGCCCCGTCGTGGGATCTATGACATCTTATGTCACCGACATAAGATTCTGCTCATGAGATGATCGACATCGAAAAACTTTGGAAAACCTCCTAATGTGTCTGATTGGTAACATCTCACCAAATGGCTTGAATATCCAACATAGGTTTATTTAAACTTCGAGAACCCCTGTTAACCCCCCCCCCCCCCCCCATATTTTTTCTCCACAATTCCAACCCACCCTCCGAAGTAGTGCGTTTGTTGTGTGCGATTTAGGATATCCTCTACCAATTAGGGTTATTCCCTAGGTCTCGACCGGTCATATTTACATCATAATATATGACATGTTAGTTATTTGATACTGTGCAACTACTTGGATATCACCTAAAATGTATCTCTCTCTTTCTCCCTCTATCGCGCGCGCTCTCTCTCTCCTTTTTCCTCTCCTCTTTTTCACCTCCTCCCTCTTCTTCCTTCTGTCTCTCATTTCTCCTCCTCTTCCCTTCTCATCCCACTCTACCATCCATATATACTTTCATTCATCCATCCATTCATCTCCGTTATCCATGTGTGTACTGTTCCATATGGAATAGTTTCGCAGCTGTGTATTGAACACACTCCCCATATACAACGGTTATAACTCGTCTTTGCTATCAAGATGACAAGTATTGTTGTCAGACTGTGTGGTTGGGTTCGACAGATCCTGTGTATAACAATCCCCTTTACTGTCTCTATTTGATAGCTGACAATCAGAGAGAAGCATTGTATCACAAGTCCCCTGCTCGCTTGATTTCATATATCTACTGAGTCTATTTCACCCATCCATCCAATCATCCACCCAAATATCCTACCATCCTGTCCGCCTATTCATCTGTCTATCATTTGTGAAATCGTATATACATTTTATATTTACACATCAATTGTACAGACATTTGTTACTTAGTTAGTTAGTTAGTTAGTTAGGTTATCCTCATTGCACTCCGGACATGTCCATAGGTGCTCAGATTCTCCCCTCAGTATGAACCCCAACGTCCGATAGCTAATGTGCCAGTTCTATGTTGCTTAACAAGTCTTCTGGCGTGTATGGTGTGCGTCTCGTTTTTTGCTGTTGCAGATCTTAATTCACAGTCTGCCATTCCTGGCGAGTGATGTGGATTCACTGCCACCAAAGTCCTCTATCCCTTACCATTTCTCTGAGGGCATTGATACTATCAGCATGATCCATAGGCTGACCGTTCGGTAGTGATAGCAGATCCAGCCAACCTGTCAGACTCTTTCATTTCCATCGACGCCTGCGTGTCCCGGAACAAAAATAAAGGTGACTCCACGCACAGTGGACTTCTGTAATGATTCCAAGCCCGATTGTCCTTCGCACTGAACCTGCCTGAAACCCTCCGTGATCTACTCATTGAATAACTGAGTATACACACAGCGGGTGTATTTTGTGTTTCAAGCCAGGCAAGCGCTTGCGAGTCACATGCCATCACCTCCATCGTCATGCTGCTGGTGTCATGGCAGAAGGCGCCGTTGGCTTCCTTGACTGTTCTACCCGCTGAGCGTGCTGTAAATGCCTCATCGCGCGCTCTTCTTTGGGCGTATACGGATCCCGTCTGTATAGATTATTATTATTATTATAGATTATTTTTGTACGGACTTAGAAACACCCAAACGTTTGGTTGATGAGCAAATTTTTTACATAAACCTTTTCCTAAACACCCAAAATTTTACAGAAAAGGAGGGGAAAAAAGGGGCAGAAAAGGACCAGGGGGGGGGATGAGGGAAAAGGGGGGCACCCCCTAAATTTTTTGATATATTTTTTGATGAACCTAAAATTATTTGCTACTGATGAGGGCTGATTGGGTGACTAACATTTAAACCCACCAGGGCATCACACCGAGGGGTAAAACCCGAGAAATTCCATCATTCTACAGGACCCAAAAACCCCGTTTAACCAGTGGGTTTAAAAATTAGGGCCCCCC